AGATATCGACGGATGAAGGCTGGATATCGACGGAGAAAGGTTAGAAAACTTTAACCTTCGATATCTCCTAAACGGTTAGAGATACAGGCTTCGGACAGGTACCAAATTAAAGCCCTTTCAAAACCCTACATTTTTCACTACATGGACGACTCTCTACTCCCAGTAGAAGCGGAGATATTGACGGAGGAAGGCTGGATATCGACGGAGAAAGGCTGGAAAACTTTAACCTGCGATATCATCTAAACGGTTAGAGATACAGGCCTCGGTCTGCCACCAAATTAAAGTCCTCTCAAAACCCTACATTTTCGACTACATGGACGACTCTCTACTCCCAGTAGAAGCGAAGATATCGACGGAGAAAGGCTGGAAAACTTTAAACTTCGATATCTCCTAAACGGTTAGAGATACAGGCCTCGGTCTGGCACCAAAATAAAGTCCTCTCAAAACCCTACATTTTCGACTAGATGGACGACTCTCTACTCCCAGTAGAAGCGGAGATATCAACAGAGAAAGGTTGGAAAACTTTAATCTTCGATATTGATTTAGTTACACAATAAATGTTCCCCGGGAGGCATGCCCCCCGGGGTAAATACAGTATATTTTCAGGCATAGGCCTGACGCCAATTTTATATAATTTATTGTCGGGGACAATCTGCCTCCCCCGACAGTGAGCAATAGATATAATATATAGATTATATTATAGAGTCAGGGTACATTCTGCCCCCCCTGACAATTGGCAGCGAAAAACGCATATTACATATATGTACACTTTAAACAATAGAAGAATTGCCCAGGTTAGTAGGCCTGTGCAATGTGCTTCATCATCAATGTGCCATATTTACACAATTACTAAAATATAGTTCCCCCTCTGTGGCGTCGACCTACCAACCAATCTGTTCATAACGCGACATCCACAGTCGAATTTCCACGCGACACGCACACCGACGGCTCACCAAGCCGGAGGAGGGACCTGGAGACGCATCAGTACTGGTAAGAGCGTGTGTATAGTGCACGCCTTCCATTTACATAATAAAAAATACTAAAAAGAAAAAAAAAAGCAAAAACAAAAAAGAAAAAAAAATAAGCTCATGTTCACTAATTCTCTCTGAGCCTGCGCCGTGTCATTTGCCTTAAAATATTTCAGCCGCGAAGACGGGGACGGAGGACATCCGTCCCCCCCCCCCGCGGCAGTCCACATTCCTGACAGCACGACAACAAAATAAATAATTAAAATAAAATAAGATATAGAATAAAAATGTAGTCCGTCATCTAAAAATATATCAGCCGCGGGCGCGACGGCGGAGCATATCCGCCGCCGCCCCCGCGGCAGTCAACATTCCAGAGGACGGACAAATAAATAAATACATGGATACAAATAAATAAATAAATAGATAAATAAATATAAATAAATAGATAGATAAATAGATAAAAATTAATAACTTATTTTTTGTTACAGGAACACCTCTCCGGCCGGTGGCCCCACGCGATATTCATACTCACGAACAATTATATCTCCGCCGCCTCGTCGACTCGCGGGCCGGCCACACGGCGGCTAATCGCGCGCGGCGGCGAGACATCGGGTACGCCGCCATCAGCTCGGCGTGGAGGAGCCCTATACTGGCGGACGCCAGAGACGTGCTCCACGTAGATGTCCCTAGACCAGCGTATGGTGTCCGACACGATGAGCCTGCGCATCATGGACGCATACGTACTGCCGATACGCAGCAGTCTCAGCACTGGCTCATTGCGCGGATCCCAGGAGCCGAGCGCACCGACGACGAAGACCGTCACGACGACACGGTACCCGAGTCGACCGAGCGCCTGCGCCAAGGGAGCGTACTTGACGAGTTTACGCTCCCTAGCTTCCTCGAGCGCTATTGGCCGATTCTCGAATGGCACCGTGACATCGCATATGACGACACTCTTCGACGGCTCGTGCCTGATCACGAGATCAGGTCGTAGCTCGCCGAGTTCCCCATCGATGCCCTCGACCCGCCGGTTCACAGTCACGTCCCCTGGCAGACGGCAAGCCCTGCTAAGTCGGAGCAGGATCGAATCGTGACGCCACTGGATCGCAGCGGAGTGGGGTCCGCAATGACAGACCACATGAGGAAGGGTCTCGGACTCCGCCCCGCATCGCCGGCAACGTCTATCACCCTCTCCTCACCGACGTGCGCCGTTCAACGGCAACACGTCGAGACGAGCACGGTGGATAAAACGCCAATCAGCGAAGCGGGTGAAGCTGCCGCCCCGCATAAAGTGATTGCTCACCCAATGACGAGACGACACCTCGAACACCTTCCCCTGGTCTGGTTTCCGCGACAAGGTGGTATCATACCACTCCGCCACCGCAGCACGCAGGCGTCCGATCACCTGGGCACGAGCCCCAGGTGGGATCTTGGTGATCCTGCCCCGCAGACCGCGACATTGAAGGACGAGCTCGCGGCGCTCCCCGCTCCACAGCCACCGGATGGCGCAGCGATCCGACTGATGACGCGCGGCGTTCCGCGCTCTCGACCACAGGGAGTGCTCCCCTCCCCCCCTCAGTCCCCCCTCAGTCCCTCCTCGAGTGACCCCGAGAGAAAGGCGGCGATCTGGTCGCAACCAGGGGGGTGGCCGATGAGGCGTGCAACCACTCCTCGCAGAGACGCCCAAGCCAGGTCCCTGACCGCGCGGTCGTCCGCCGTCAGAAGACGGAAGACGTGCGCGACCGAGAGGACGTCGGCGAGGTCAGCTAGAGGAAGTAGCCCACATCCTCCCTTGCGAGGGGGACCACTTCTGCGCTCGCTCTCTGCGGGAGGTTGAGCCACATCTTACAGGACCTGCGGATCTGCAGGTCGAGCTCCTTGAGAGGGCCCTTCTCCACTGCGGCTCCCCGCAGCAAAAAGTCGAGCCGCGGCAACAAAAAAGTCGCCACGGTCTCAGTCTTCTGCCACGGGGCGAGGAGGGAACGGTCAACCGACGCCAAGTCGTCACGTAGCACCCTAATGGCAACATGCGGAGTCTGGTTGATCCCGAAGCCCGTCGGTATGCCGAGGTGTTCATAGGCCTACACTTTGATGTTAGCTCAGAGAACCGAGAAACGATGCTTTACAACTGCTACGTTCGCATTTTATCGACAACTCTTTCAATTTTGGTTTTAGCGTTCCGAATGTTAATAATAATCTTTAGAACTCGTGAGGGGCTAGCCAGAACTCTGAATGAAACATCGGATTTCCGAAAAAAAATTTTACGTGTTTAATAAACAATCAATTTTTTTGAAAATTCGATGTATTATTCAGAGTTCTAGTTAGCCCCTCGCGAGTTCTAAAGATTATTATTAACACTCGGAACGCTAAAACCAAGATTGGTAGAGTTCTTGCCATTTTTCGTTTTCTAATTCGAGAATTTAAAATATAATTTTTCTTATTGTTTTAAACAGAACTATTTTTAAAACTTATCTAGAACTATAGAACTTAAAAATCTATTTAGAACTCTATTTAGAAAAAAATTGTCATTTTTTACATAATGAGGGGCATCGTGAAGTTGGCCCTCCGATTTTTAAAATGGTATTTTCTCTACTTTAAATGAAGGAACTCTTTCTATAAAGGATTGCGAACTCTAGAACTCTGCGAGGGGCATTCAGAACTCTAATAATTTTTTTCAAATTTGAAGAATGAGGGGCCATCTTCACAGAGGTGATGGAGCGAACACATTCTCTGTCTCTCTTTTGCTTGGCTCGTCGAAACAAGTCGAGCGGAGGGCGGGGTCTCAAAGGAAGTGTCATCGACGAAACGTGCAATGCTTGCGATGCCCATGTGTTGTATGCAATACGTGCATTTTCTTAAAAAATGAAAAAAAAATTATTGTGATACATGTATGTTGTATGCAACACGTGCATTTTCCTAAAAAACGAAAAAAAAAATGATTGGCGAAAAAGGACAACGCCGATCGCCAAGGAGATGCGAACCACCGACCCCGCGAGTCCAGCGTACTTCCACCAAGCCACACGTTCTTTGAGAAGTTCGTTCCTTCATTTGGTTCATGAAGTACTCGCGATTTTCAATCGCGACTTTCTTGCAAACGCTTCAATGCTACGCCGTATCTTTAAGTGCAATGTTAATTTGTCATGCAAATCTATCGACACAACGAGTTTAGTCGAAATCGATTGCTATTGATCATCTCGTTGGATTCACGCCGAGAGTGAAACGTCAGTCTCGGCCGTGTGTCGGGAAGCACAATTTCGGCAACGTTGCGAATCAGAGCGAGATGGAGCGAATACATTCCCTCTCTCTCTCTCTTTCGCTTGGGTCGTCAAAACAAGCCGAGCGGTGGGCGGGACTTCAGACGGATAGACGGGAGCAGTTTCTCTGTGTGTGTGTGCCGACTACATTCTTACATAGAAACGTACGGCAATTGAAAATGTTTAAGCATATACCCTGAGATTCTATCTGTTGCGTATGACACGTGTGTGTGTGTGTGTGAGTGCGTATATGCACACGTACGTCACGCACACTTTCAATGCAACACATGCACACGGACACAACTGCGCTAAAAAACGCCTGCCGGAGTATAAATAAATACTAACGTAACGCTGAAATATTTTGGAAAAATAATTTTGGTACACACAAAATATTATCTTATTATCATATATTTATATATCGATATAAATCGTATATAATCTTCATGATATTAATCATATACAATCTCAATTCTTATTTTTTTGTGCATGTTAACATGTTAATTCATGTTACAAATGCATAACAATGCGCGAGACCATGCTTGTCAAGTACGCTATTATGGTTGTAGCACGGAGATAAACCGCCTGAAAGTGGATGTAGCACGGACAGCCACCAGATGCAGGTTTTACCGTTGAGACCTAAAAGTGGATGTAGCATCGTAGTTCCCCTCTCAAAATGGATGCAAATAGCGCCCATTCCCAGTGCGAAAAATCGGTGTCGCCGAAAACGCCGTGTTGGCCGCTTTCAGCTTCCTCTCTGGTAGCAGAAAGTCACAAATATTTTGTAACCAAGCTAGGGATTTCTGTATTTATGTAGTTGGTGCTCTGCAGTGCTCGGAAGTTGGTGTTCATGTACGGTAGTGCGTGTGGCGTTATAGCACGAGAGCATCGTCCATTTATACGTTTTTCTTTGTACGTGCGTTTCTCTCCAAATCAAGATGAAGTAAGTGTAGTTTTTCTATATCAAATACATCGAATAATTCTGATGCAATCCTTTTATATGTGTAGCCAAATTTAGGCTCATTGCCTGGCCATACTCTTTATGATTGATATACATTTATTCTTTTTAGGATTGGTCTTTGCGCCTATAGCGGATATAAAATATATCCGGGTCATGGCAAGACTATGGTCAAAGTTGATGGAAAGGTAAGTATTGCGGAAAAACAATATATATATATATATAATGATATAATTATCATTTTAATTCCATATTACTTTTCTGTTATCGCGCCGTATTCTACGAAAATATGTTTGATGTATATATCGAATTCTTCATCTGCCAGTTTGCGTGTTTAACATAACCTTTATCTTACTTCTACAGACTTTCACTTTCCTTAATTCAAAATGCGAATCAGCACATTTGATGAAACGCAACCCCAGAAAAGTGACTTGGACCGTTCTCTATAGGTATACATGTGTGTTCTAATAAGCAAGTAATTCCTTGACTTTCTGTTAAAATTAATATATGTAATTTATTTTTTAGACGAAAGCACAAAAAGGGTCAGGAAGAAGAACAGACTAAGAAGAGGACAAGGCGCACTCAAAAGTTCCAACGTGCTATTGTAGGTGCGTCTCTCACGGACATTTTGGCGAAACGTAATATGAAGCCTGAAATCCGTAAAGCTCAAAGAGATCAGGCGATTAAGTATGTATTTTTTTCAACTACCAGCCTAATTATTATTGTTACTATAAAACTATTAAAATAAAATTGGAGAAATCTATACAAAAATAGTAAAATCATGCCATTAGATATATTTTGTTTAAATCTATCATATATGACATAGACATCCGTTCCTCTGACAAAGCTTTTCATGCTATGTTAGATTTAAGGAAGTCTTAGAATAAAAATGAACTGCTTCACCCAGAATTGTTTTCTTATTTACACTGTTTGGCTTTTGCGGGTTCATACATTCATAACATATCATGCAATATTATGCAGTAACAATATTGCTCTAATATAACTTTTTTTTCAGAGCTGCAAAAGAACAGAAAAAGGCAGCAAAAGCCACCAAAAAAGCTGTTTCTCCACCAAAAACGAAACAGCTGCCAAAACAAAAGGCAGCCAAGGTGACGCAGAAATCTGCACCTCGTGTTGGTGGCAAACGATAAATTATGTAATTATTCACAATAAAATAATACAATTCATATTTGAATTTCAATATTTTATATAATGCTGCAAATGATTAAGTTAAGTTATAAAACTTCAAAACATACTTGGTTTTAACATGAGTTGCACATTCTTTTTTATATAGTTCTAAATACAGTTGATGATTCAATGAGAACTTGTCCTTGATTAGATTTTAGAAATTAAGTTCTCTCGTTGGACCACCGACTGCATTGAAAAGTACATTCAAACTTCTAGAATCAAGTATATTCTGTTTCCAAGTAGCAACGTATTTTATTTTGCTGTATATGTAATTTGAGTTTAATCTTTTGTAGTCGTAGCCTAGATTATGTTCGGTAATATACATTGTGTCGAGACGCATGACAACTGTAAAGATTTCGTTTCATTTACATAGTCAAAATATATAAACTTAAAACTAATCATTTTATATTGTTACATAAGTCTGTTTTATAAATAAGTGATAACCACTTCACAATTGCATCAAGTTTATATAAAAGTATATTCACTAGTTGTCCCTATTCAACTCTTTCTTGAGTGCAGACAACTTCATCAAAGCGGTGTCTCGCCACGCTCGTCGTTCCTGTAGCTGGTCAAGTGGACACATTTCGTTCAATTCGTTGCTGATTTTCTCCGCCATTTCACCGACGAACTTTGGAACCGGCCCGAAAGTCATGCTCACGTCGTAAATCGATTTGTTATACGTCTCACAATATTTCTTCATCCCTATAAAACGATACAATATAGCTTGAATCGCATTCCGTTAAAAAGTTCACTTTGTCATCAGTTTCCCTATTTATTATTAATACGCGGGCACGCTAATAGCTCTTTGTATTTGTGTACGTCATCCGACTTACCTTCTGCATTCAGGTGTGCGGCTTCAAACGCACCGAAAAACGCGTAACGCATTCCGAGACCTTCGCTCATTACCGCGTCAATGTCTTTTGCGCTTAGAATTCCGTCGGCCACCAGTCTCCAAGCTTCGTTTAAGATCGCGTACCTGACGATACGATTCTTTTCAAATGCGAAGTATTGCAGTGTAATTAATAGATAACGATAGATCGAAGAACAGCCTTACAACAATAAGGACGTCCGATTACGTACTGTATTCTGTTGAGCGCGAATCCATCGATCTCCTTATTGAGAAGAACTGGTGTTTGTCCAATTTCCGTCATGATTGCCTTTGTCTTCTCACGAACATCATCGCGCGTCCATGGGGCTGGTACTACTTCGACGAGAGGCACGTAGTAAGGAGGATTCACCTATGTTTGAAATGTAATCACGTAATGATCACAACTTATATATAAGCAGATACAAAATATAAATATATCCTGGTGCTTATAGAAAATATACACAATATATGTGTAAAGTATAAATAACTATTATCCTGTTTTCTGCTTGTAAAGCAGCATTTGTTAGAGGATCGATATCATTTCTATTGTACTCTGAATAATGCTTACAGGGTGGGAAACTATAATTTGATCACGGTGCTTCAACTTCTCGCTGAAGAGAGACGGGCGAAACGTGGACGTCGATGAAGACAAGATCACTTTATCGTCGACAATTTTATCGAGTTCGTCGTACACTTTCATCTTTAACGGGAGATTCTCCGGCACGCATTCTTGCACAAATATCGCCCCCTTTACGGTATCTACCAAATTATTCGATCCTACAATCCAATATCGTACATTAAGTTTCACAAACTTGGTCGAAAACTTTACCTTGACGATTATTCTAATACATCAGCCACATAAAGTCGCAACTAACTTAAGATCTGATCAATGTAAATGTTTCATATAATAGGAAAAGAAGAAAGAAAGAAACAAGCAAACGAACCTTTTATCAATTTTATTTGTTCGCTCGCTTTCAAAGTACCCCTGCGAACACCACTTTCCTCGAGACGTTTCAATTGCGAACTAATGTCGTCTAGCGCTTTTGTGATTTGGTTTGAGTCAATATCATAAATGGTCACCTGATATCCAACGCTAGCAAATAGCATCGACCAGCTACGTCCGATTAAGCCGCTGAATCAAGACGGAACGGAAAAGATTAGTTATTAAATGTAAAGACAAACATGAAATGACAATCTCGCAAGAAGGTATTCAAATTCAGGTAATTCATTTATTTTTTTACATAAAAAATGATTTTAAAAATTTTATGGTAATTATGCATAAAAGAGGCCACCCTCCGATTTAATTTATTTTTAAATATGTTGTTGCGAAAACCTTCCTGAGTTGTTTCATATACATATATAACGGTCGGACATAAACAGCTTCGGGAATACAAGCTGAGAAACGATGAAAGTAGTAAATATGAAAATTCATTTAAAGTAATGAATTACCGAAGCGTATACACCGAAGGGCGGGTGCGGGGGGGCTTTTAGCCCCTCCACCCCCCCCCCGTCTGGTCGAACTTGCGTCATATGGAAAATTGCAAATTTATGTAACACAGAGCAATACAACTTTCCATATGAAGCGAGTTTCGTGGCGATTACCGCATTTTTTTATGCAATGGCTGAAAACTTTCCAATTCCCAACGATAATACTGAATAAATCATCATTAAACATTTATTTTTATACTTGTTATTTCTATCCTTTCTCAACCTGTATCTCCGAAGCTATTTGTGTCCGACCCTTATATATGTATATGAAACGACTCAGAAAGACTCCCCCAACAACATAAAAATAAATTAAATCCAGGAGGGGGCCCCTTTTATGCATAAATACCGATTTTATTTACTTGTCTTTTATTTTTGCGAACATATATACACACCAATTTCTTTTAGGAAGAAAATTTTTTGTAAAAAGGGTTTTTTTCTGTTTTTAAGACTATTATTTATTTGTGTTCAGCCGTAATAGAATGATCGCAAAGAAAGAGCATCACCCTCTATTTGATTTAACTGCAAGAAATAAATGTTGTTGATCACGCCTCTATTATCTTATCTGCGGACGATGACAGAGTTAAGTTTGCTAAAAAGTGCAGTATGTTTGAAAATTGTTATCACCTTTCTCGTGAGGGATCGTTTCATTACTTGAAGAAATTGGTAGTAATAGATAGTAAAGCAGTGATAATCGATGTTTTATAGTTACTATAAAATCAAATTATTTTATAAGATAAAATCGATTACGCGCAAGTAAGTGCATTTACATATTTTATTAAAAAAAAAACGATAAAACGCGCTGTCTATTAATAATACAGTGTGAAATAAAAATTCGTTACTTTCGTCTAATGCGCACTACTGGTAATCTATAAATATCTCAAGGGCACATTGTAAAGTTTATTTTTGCTTTTCAATTTATCAATCTTATTTCCTTCATTTGTTGGTTGAACAATCTCGGTTCGATACCGTCACGCGATTAAAATGTCACAATGTTTCTCTCTAATCTAACGGTTTCCGTGAAGGTCGATTTTAAATGATTACCAGAACATACGATGTCATTATATAATCAGTTATTTCATAAACGACAATAATATGAAAGTAACTTTGTATATCTCAGCAAATTGATCAAACAATGGAAAAGAAGAAAACTTATGCAAACACGTTCAAAATTATGAAAAAGAAGTAATCAATTTCTCACGACCGACTAATGTAATTTTTTTTTTACTTTGACGCGATAACATGAGACCTCGCACGCTTATCAACAATATACGCTGCTAAAAATAGCAATAGTAATAGCAATCAAGACCCATAGCCGGTCATTGCTCGTTGCAATCGATATTATTCTTTTATTGATATTATCCATTTATTGATGCAGTCGATATTATCACGCTGGTTATCAAACGCGAAACGAACATAGCGGGCGTTAATTGTTTAATGATCATGCCGTACACATTAAATCACAATCGATCGTGTTACCTGCCGATGATACCAATTTTTTCCTTTTTAGTCGACATAATATTGCCGCTGTATGCTTGGCCGGTCTGCGGAGGTCTGCGGAGAAAGTGATGTGTACGAGCTGTGTAACACCCGTAGAATGTAACACTGACAAACGTGGCGGCGAAGGAGTCGATATATATATACCCTCGCACTATCTGCCATCTCCCTCCTCACATTCACGTATGTCATGCTGCTTACGATTTGTACCGAAGTCGTTATCATAGATGCTCCCACATCGACGCCTTCGAGGATCGTTATCTTGTTAAAACAAGCATTTAACGAGTACATTACCGCTAAGCACAGCCGGTGCGTAACGATCGGCTTAAAGCACAATCACGAATCAAAATATTACCTATTTTATGCTCTGTAAAAGTAAGCCAATTAAATGAAATTGACAAATTTTCATCGTCGAAATTTCACACCGTCGTTGAAAGTTGGCCGACTATTAATATTTGTCATTCTTCAATTATGAGGAAAGTGAATTTGGGACTTCGAGACATTTGGATCGATAGATCGCGCCTCAAAGCTGGATTTTGCCTACAGGTACCGTGAAGACTGTAAAAATAATTTATTGCGTAAGAGTATGAACGGCCTGTTTATTGATGACTCATACAGCGCGAAACTTTCACTGTCATACAGCGACAGACACAGTAATGAATTTGGCAAAATTTTAGCATTTACAGACAACTTGAAGTTTCCTTTTGAATATAACCAATTTCTCGAGTTCTCGTATCTATGATAACTCTTATCTTACATGTTTTAACATTAAACTATTCTATGTGCTTTCATTTGTGCGATTTATGTTAATTCCAACCGTATCTCCGATGTAAAGATCGGATATTAAACCGATCAGATATCGCCGATCGGTATTTGGAGAATATTAAACAAGTATTATATGATGGAAAAAGAGTGGCTACCTCTGACCTCCGAATACCAAGGCGCTATAGATTATTAATTGCATCGGCAGAATCTTCGCGGAAATAACAATGAGTACGTGTACGTATGTGTTGCCAAACTTAAACGGTGATGCGCGTAAATACGTGCGTATGTGTAAGGTTGCATTATACTATATGATAGAGTTCTATGTATTGACGTAATGTGAGTTAATATAACAGTGAGCTTTCTCTCGCTTTCGATAAGCGTACCGCGATTGAAGAAAAAGAAGCGATTCGTGAATGTAAAGACGGCTATTTTAAGACCGCGTGAAATCGCTTTACCAGTCGATTAATTACACTAGTAATGTGGCATGGGAATTTTCACTGTAAGAAAATAGCGTGTGTCGTCCATCCAGCGCCCTTCCATCATACGGCCAAAAATGACCTCCACATCAGTCTGTCTCTTACAGTAGTTTCTCGAATATCCATTCTCGTAAAGTCACGGGCGAACACGCCCTACCGTAATCGTTCTCTCGATCTTCCTTATGAGGAATTCTGTATAAATTATGATACCGATGGGTAATAATCGACACGTTGTATATCGCTATTTGCCATCCTACTTTGTACGATTATTATTCTTCCGTCAGTGCTCCGTACTTACGTCTTCGTCGTTGAAGTTTCGGCGCGACGTGTTCACGCGAGTTACGCATTGCAGATATGATTTTATATCCATATGAATGACCAATAAAGAATGTTGAATATGATGAAGGACACAGGGAACACTATTCTACTACGCTTGTCGATCCACTGAGCGATCTCCTGCGGTGTCATTGTCGTGAAGTTGTGTAATTTAGCGAGAGTCGGCCTGCGTGCGAACGACTTGGGCGGTGGGGTGCTGTCGATGGTCGTGATGCTGCCGACGGAACAGTCAGGATCCTTATCCTCTTCTATTCTCACAGAGGGGATATTGATGGTGCTTGGAAAACTCTGGAAAGCGCAAACTTGACATGAAACGTGCGATTTCGCAACGATTGACCTTCTAACGAACTGGTCGGTTCTCTCCTCCGGAGAGAATCATCTTGCGGTGTAATTGATGACATTGCAAAGTAGTACATGAAGAATTACTCAAGATGACTTACATGTACAGTGAGATAATTCTGGCTTATGAAGTCCTGCTCGCTGCCGTTTGTGTTATCCAACGACGACCATGATCGTGATCTTTCCAGTCCGCTTGTATTCTTCTGGAACTGCTTTCTCGCCAGACGTGGCGTCAAAGTCGACTTCAGGATGTACTTGCTATTCACCTTCTTCAGAGGTACGTTCTTCCTGTATTACAAATACCACACATTACCCTTAATTACCTTTCTTAAATAATTCTTAAAGTTCTTAAATAATTACAGTCACAGCAAGTAGCAAATGAAGTATGTTAAGAGAAGCTTAATAAGAAATGACGTACTTCCTTCTATATATGGTGTTAACGAAGGCGAACTCGACCATCGCTGCAAATAAAAATATAGTGCAGCCCAGGAACCAAATCTCGCTGGCCTTTATATAGGAGACCTTCGGTAAGGAATTCTCCACTTTCGATGCGAGCGTCATGAACGCCAGGATAGTGTTCGTTCCTGAAAGTAAATCTTGTTCGTATTCTCAACGTAGCAACGACACCAATCACGATATTCGGGCGCGATTATTACCCAGGACTATTCGTGGCGCGCTCGCGTCCACGTGCAACCAAAAGGACACCCAAGAGATCACCACAATTAGTATGGACGGAACGTAATAATCCATCATGAAGAATCCCATTTCACGAGCCAGTTTAAATGTAATATTTATCGAGCTAAAATTGCCGGCTGCAACCGTCGTCATGATTAATGAAATTACGTACGTTTCCCCCTTTCTTCTTTTTTTTTTTTCAGTAAATCAAGCATCGTCATTCGGGATTATTTCTCTGTTGAGTTTACCGAAATGTCCGTAATGATATTGCGACGGCGTGTAGGATATCCCGGAGCTGTTGACCCACGTGCCTACGAGCTTGTACTCCGTCAGGTATAAGTTGCTCGCGATGACGATTGGCTCCTCATCCCAGTCCAACACCATCTCGTTCACGTTGTGGGTCCCTGTGGGGAGAAATTCATCCGGTTCAATCCACCGCGCAACAGAGGCGAGCACAAGCGACATTACAATGTACAGCCTACTGACAACTCTCGAAGACCAGCGGGCACTCTTGCACGTCGAACGGGAACTTCTCCAATCGAAGCCCGCAATTCATGGTGGCTTCTAGCCTGAAATTCAAGCGAAGGTTCACCGTACACATCGACCACTCGTTGGCGTGGTCGCTCCGCGAGATTAAAATGACACAGGTAAATATGTGAGCGAAAGCGGGAATTAAAAAATGATCGCTTTTCACCAGATCTGCTTTGTGATTTCCATCGAGATCGGGGATAAGCGTCGGTGGTGTACCTTGTGTTCAACATGACCATGCCTTGAGGGTTGATGGAGATCAGCAGATCTTTCACACCGCTCCCCATCACGGCCGAGGTGCGTTCGTTCGCGACGTACACAGTCGGGGTCCAGATCAAGTCATGAGCTGATTGTCCGCCGTATATTTGCGTCAAGTAAGGGGCTATGTCCGAGAACTTGAGTCGCTTGTCCAGGTATCGGAATTGCAGCATCAGATGCACGTCGAATTGCTGCAACACGATGTGAAGCCTCTCTTTATTGCCGCGTCCAACGATACTCGCGCTAATCGCGTTAAACCTGCGTGTTTACAGGTACAAGTAAAAGTGCGGGAAGGTACCAGAGTTTTCGCCATGTTAGATTTGATCGTGTAAATGAAAGCTTTGGTGTAAATTTTGATTGGGTCAGTGGCGTTCATCACCCCCGGCGGCCTGACCATCTTGTCGTAGCGGCACTCGTTCGCCAATTCCTGCAGGAGTTCCGTCTGGGTCATAGAGCTACCGAATGATGGACAATTTCCCGATCTGTAAGAAGCATTCCTTCAAATACGATTCCCTTCGTGCACTTGATCTCAAGGTCACATTGTGAGCCACGAGAACTTCCTCCCAGCCACGAGATCATTCGGGAGAATAGAAAAAATAGTAGGAAGTGCGCGAGTTTTGCACGGAGAATTCAAATGCAGCCTGGCACATTGTAATTGGAAACTATAGCGACAGACTTAGCGCAAGCGCCCGATAATAATATCTGCCTTTCAATGCGGCCATTTGCGAATTAATATTCTACACCGATCTCTCCTCGTGTATGTTTTTCAACGTATGTTCATTAGCTCTTTGTATTAATGTAAATTACACGCTGACGGCATTAGACGTGCAAATAACCATTTTGCGAAAACTAATTGCATCGTCGTAAATACAATCTTGCAGGTGCAGAATTTATAATTCGTCGCAACTCGCTCCAATTGCAAAGTACGAATCATTTCGAGAAGGGAAGAGGGAACAAGAGGAAGAGGGAGAAGAAGAGTCGTGCACAAGATTTCGCGAAACAATTATGTAAAAATTTGTTTTCGCGACTGCGTCGCTCACGTGACGGATTATATTTTCGCCGAGAGCATTACGCACTCCGGGCGCACGTGCTTCGCACTTCGTATAAACGCGCCATCACAAAAGAACGCCGACTGTATTAAGTTCTTATCTGGCTGTTGTGTGCTACTTGAATTTACAATGTCGGGAATAATTCTCGCCAAATATCCTGTTTATGTAAGATATGCATATTTACATGCATCTTTGTCTGGAGAATTGTGTGTACTCGTCGAGATTAGGATTAAACTGTCTTGTGACGTTATACCGTATCATATGACACCCCGCGACTGCATCGAACAATAAACATTTGCACATTGGACCTTCGATAGTTTTACACGTCGTGATGGAGTTAGAAAAGAAAGAACAAAAAAAGGCATCGGTTTCGTCTATCTTCTGCCAAGAAAATGCTTCTTCTTTCCAATTAAGATCGAGCGTGTCGTTGCGTAAACGCAATTGACTCAATGTATCGCGCTATTTTTCTTGAATTTCCTCTCGATTAACCTCGTTTACGGTGGCAATTATAATTTCGCGAGTTCTTAGTTAAGACATGACACAGTACGTCACAGCGCAAACGAGCGCGATAATGATAAGGCGCGATGAGAGAGAAAGAAGGAGAAATCGACGAGAGGCAGGCAAGAAATTAAATTTTTGAACACCGCTATTATTTAGACAGATGTATATCTCCCCGCGATTCCGCGACGTATGTTGCCGTCGACGAAACGCGGGTTCTCTTTCTGTCTCTCTTTCTTTCTATCTTTCTTTCCCAAGTACAACGGCAAATGATATCCGTTTACTTACAAGAATAATCGTTAAATGACTTCTGTCCAAGCTGTCATTCTCGGCCGAAATTACGGCGCTGTTTCACGCAAAAAGAGCGACGAGCAATTTTTGCGACGCGCATGAAAAAAGCTCCCACGGGGAGATAATTTATGGCGTTACTCCAGTTCATTAATACCGTTCGTTTATTTACGTATTTACGAGGACTCTGAAGGTCAAATGTTACGCGCTAATAAGTTCGAAAGCAGCCGTAAAATTTTACCAAGGCTGGAAATAATAATTAAACGAATTTTATCTCTTATACGCCTAACGATACACGTTTCCCTAAATTTACTCGGATGTGCGCGAGCGCGTTTTCGCCGGGGTCTCTTTTATTTTCTCACGTAAAATATATATATTTCTTATTCGCGGGAAAACAAGGAAAATTGAATGATATGAAAATTAAATGAAACAGGAAAAATTAAATGTCACTAACATATTTTCTATCTTTTATTCGTCCTGTAATAATCCCATTACTTCGTCGTCTCTAAGAACCGTCAAGTAGATAACACGACAGTATTTAGAAGTAGATAACGGCGTGCGCTGTGTGAACAAGTAGACTTGTGGTTTTGCAAAATTTATGAAGCGTATATTTTCATTTTTTTTTTTCTCTTACAGACACCGCTAACACGGCATGATCTCATCGGGAAAGATCACTACACGAGCGATAAATAATCGTCAACATGATAAAATTCTACGGACAAAAGTGCGAAAGTGGTGAATATTTATGAAGATTCTGTCACGTTCACCGTGGTAAAACGATGAGTATAGGTATTTGAATTAATTAGCAGGAAAATCACGAGTGTATTCAAGTCAAGTTTCTTATTCGAGCGTAAAAATTGCAAGATACAAAAATGTGCATGTTTTTTGTTTGTAATATACGCTATTTCGTTCTATCTCTGAAAATCGACAAGTTGTAACTTACGAATTGCGCGATACTTGTTTTTCTCCCCCTTTGCTTGAATTTTTCTTATTAACGTAAACAAAAGAGGGATGATTCAAACTTACATTTTGGTCGCGAGCAACGGTGACCATGACAGATGAACAAAGAGCGCCAAGACGAAGACTCCTCCTCCGAGAGTCATTCTAAGCTCCTTCGCCACTTAGCTGTACCACTAATAGGTCCCGACTGATCCTTGCTTGAGGCCGAGCGAGCAAATTTGTCGGAAAACAGACAGCGACCAAACCTTGCTCCCACTCATGGTTTGTTCCTCCAACTTGCTCGAACGCGCACGTACACTTCATGCAGATGTGTGTCATCAAGCTGGTAACGCACACATTCAATATATGCTTAAGACTTAATACTATAGATGTTGTATCGTGCTTCGTGAAATTTGCACATCGACATAGTAAAAGCACCATTTCAGACACGCGACTTCAATATCAGAGATATCGTTAAATGGACTAGCTTCCCGGAATACCATGCGTAATTATTTGCTTATCGTTGTGAAAATGCTACATTCCCTGCGCAATGATCCATGATTCACATTTCGGCGTAATGAAATTTCCTTTATCTTCGTGAATCTGTAAGTTTTATCACGACATGTAATTGCGTTCACGTGTACTCTTATTCTCCCTTCTTTAATTCACTTCATTTCTTTCTTTTCGTTGTTTCTGTCATCGAATTATCATTTAATCTAATACATAATTAAAATTCACTTAAATCTGTAGCATAGAGAGAAATATGAAATTAAAAAATTGCATATCGCGTGAATTGTAGGATCTGGATGATTTAGTAAAATCAATTGATATTTCTGATGAGTAATAATAAACAAATATACAAATATTACTATATTTCTACATTTTTTATTTAAAAAATATATTAATATTGAATATATATATATATATATATATATATATATATTCAGTATTAAGTTATACGATATCGGATGCATTCGGGGAGACGCTATTAGCGTTATTTAGCACCACAGGCTATTTGTGGAACTAAATATATGCTAAAATAAACGCTACCAAAACGTCATAATCGAAGCGTTGCATGTCATAATAAATATGTACTATGAATACTATTCCTTCCGAGATAGCGTATTAGTAGCGCCAATAGCGTCTCCCCGAATGTCAGGTTTCATACGATTGACTGTGTATTCTAACAAATGGACATCTTGTAAAAGTTTTGTTAATCTATTGAAATGTCTATCAGTATAAGGTATCATGCCTTCTAAAATTGAAGAAAAACCCGAAGTCCACAGCTGTTCAGCGCCGATCTCCATCATGAAGACATTGATAATCACCTAAAAATAATAATCAAGGTAATCTGTCAAATAATCAAGTATAACCTGAAGATAAAGTGCTCCCAGATATATTTTTATGTGCTCAAGATTTTTTTCAGATCAATCAGAAACACAGAGAAAGTAACTCTGATTCTTATTAAATATAGTTTAATACCTGCGCGATATGTGAATTTCGACTGTTTGTATTCCACGTCATTGCACATCTGAATAACTTTTCCTTGTATTCTGAATTTAAAGACTTAATTGTACCTGTGAGCCTGTCATTTCCTCCTTTTAATAGAGCTGTTACATACAAAAGTATATTTGAAAATCAACGTCAAATATACGGACACATCATTAATTGATGTTCAATGCATGAGCGATCGCACAATCATACCTTCAACGATCTTAAAAATTTTGTACGGTTTATCCAACTTCAGCGCTAGTAGCAACGCACCGTGGAGCTCTTCGGATTGCAATAAATTCATTAGTGTCTGTTCATCGAGTTCACGTTGCTCCTTTTCCTTCGCAGATTGCTCTCTCTTCTCTTCAGTTACGTCTTTCCAAATCACCAGCAATGAGTCGTTATCTCCGCTGATGATATGTTTCTGATCTTTGGTAACTGTACGAGCATACGGACATTGTGTATATGTAGATTATTATTAAACATATAAATGCATTTCATAAGCGTTCGCCAAGATTTCGGATAAACTCACCCGCAAGAGTCCAAACACGACTCTTGTGTTGATCCAAAGTAGATATGCATTCAGATGTTTTGATGTTCCATAATTTTAGAAGACCGTCTCCGCCCGCTGTAATCAGTTGCATACCGCGCGACAAGAACTCTCCTCTAAGAACTGAGGACTCGTGTCCTTCTAATGTCTACGCGTCAACGGTAACAAGAGTTATTACAATAATCTTTAAGTGCAAGAAATTATTTATATCTAGAAAAATACCTTCAAACAATTGAGTTCGGTCAAAGACCATAATTTCATTGTACAATCGGCGGACGTTGTCAAGAGTACTTGATCAAATGGGGAGAATCGGGCGCACCATACGCCTCTCCGATGGCCGTGAAACACTCCGAGTTTCTGCAAGTTTTCGGCAGACCATAGCTATGGAAATAGTTATTCGTACAGTTCTTATGTAATATCGTAAAAATGCCTTAGAATTATTTGCATGCATAAGAAAATTAGTAGACACAATGTTACCTTAGCGGTTTTGTCCTGCGAGGCTGTAGCAATCAGTTTATCATTTTGCGACACAGTTACACAGTTGATGTCTTTCTCATGCGCCTGTACAGTGTAACTTACATTCAATGGCAATTCTTGACCTGTAATTATCGACAAATTATTTGGTTCAATGTGAGAAATTGTGTTTACGACTTACTGTATTCCAAATTATTTGACAATTTCCACAATTTCAGACATGTATCTTGAGCGACGGAAGCGAAAAACTTGATCGACTCCTGAGATATGGCGACGGAACCAACTGCTGCTGTATGTCTAACAGCGTGTCCAATGCAAAACATTTTTGTCCTTTCTTTATCCATCAACCATACCCGAACACTCTTATCCTGCAAATGACCTCTCACGATATAGACATCAATTTTATTGATATCATTAATATAAATGTATACCTTAGCCGCAGAAATGAGCAAATTCGCATTCGCTGGAGTCGTAGCAAGGGCCAAGACGATGCCGGTATGGCCACACAATAGTTGACAATTCATAGATGCGATATCATAAAGTTTAATGTCGCAGCTGTTGGTTGCCAGTGCTATATGAGTGTCATTAGCTCCAAGATATACGACATCTAATATCTCATCTGCGTAGCCCACCAACTGCAGTGATTTAGATAAAAATTAGCACTATACGAGATTATTATTCTATAAAATTACAGAAATATAGAGTATAACACCAACCTGCTTCTTGCATTCAAAAGATTCTAATGAATGAATAATTATATTATGATCGACAGATATTACTGCAAAATTATTGCAGAATTTATTGTAGAGTAAATGTGTAATTGATAAGCTTTCTTCTTCTTTAGCCATTGATACCAAAGAATTTTCTTGCTTGTACATCAGTCTCCCTGTTCTCATTTCCCAGATTTTTATGATACCTAGAAAATTTTTATATTAAACAGCCATACTTTTATATTAAACCACACTGATATTATCAAAGAGTAAATTGCATTTATATAGCCAATTTACCTTTTTCACCAGCTGAGGCAACATATATGTCACTAGTTTTACATAGTTGAGAAAATGTCGGTAGAGGAGTTTTAGTGTCTATTATAAATGCTCCTTCTATTCCTTCATATACTGGTAGGACACGTACTGTTGTTCCAGATGATATGTCCCACAAAATTAGCACTTTATCTCTCCCTGAACTACAAATATATGATTGTTAGTTTCATGATTTACATAATACTTTACACAATAACTTTACATAATATAGAACTTTCTGAAAATTCTTTTACTACCTAACTAAATAATTTCCATCTTTGTGAAAGTTGAGAGATGTAATTTTACTAAAATGGCCAGAAAGAGTAATTTTCTCTTCTCCATTAATGATATCCCAACCATGAATCTTTACATCATCACCAGTACCAAAAAGTATATTTCTGTCAGGATCTGGATGAAATTTTAGTACACTAAATAATAACAAAAATTATATTAATTTTGATAAGTGTTATAAAGTGTTATAAAGTTATAAAGTGTTTGATATTTTACATTATATAAGTACCTAACTACTCCTTGAATTCCTTTAAGATTATGTGTACAGGCATGGTTTGATAAATCCCACAATCTAACTGTACCATCACTTCCTCCAGATGCCATTAATAGATTTGCATTTGTAAGGGCTAATTGTGTTACAGGTCCCTTGTGAATAGATTTCCATAACTTTAACAATTTATTATCTGTAAGTTATATAAATAAAATTGAAATGAAGATCAGTTAAAAACACTAGAGACTTAAAAAGATATATAATAGGCTTGAGTACAAATTATTACCTTTCCAATCCCATAATTTGAATAATCCACTTTTGTGATGAGTAATTACATTTATATCATCATCAGTAAGAATAAAAGAATTTATTATGTCTTCTTCTTGACTAGCATCTACTTGACCTAATGATACTACAGAGCCATTATCAACAGACAATACAGATACAGTACCTCCTTTTTGGCATAATAAATATTCTCCACATTGGCTCCACTATAATAAGAAGACAATATTGTATATACAAATAAATCCAATAAAAAACTACACTCAGACACCTACTTGTATATCCCCACCAGTATAGAATGCTCCATGTTTACTTTCTACCTCAAATCTGTAACATGTTATAATTGTTATTAATATAATATATTAGCAATGTATATTTAAATAACATAACAGAATAATAAAAGTATACTTACACTTCCTTTAAAGAGAAATTACTTTTGCTCATCTTTTTTATAAAAATTAATTGATATAGAATGAGAAAACAAATTTATTTCTTCTCGACTATGTCGGCACATTCGTTCCCTAAATAGGTTAAAACTTTTATAATGAATGAGAAAACAACACTGTACGCACGTGTTCCTCTTTCTCCTTCTCTGTCACTCATTCTTTCTTTCTATGGGCCAGAGCACAGACTTCTGCATAACGCATAATATACAACGTATAAGAGAATCAACAAATCAGAGTTCTTCATTTCCCTCCTCGGGACAGAAATGAAGAACTTTGATTGGTTGATTTTCTTATGCATTGTGTATTATGCGTTATGCAGAAGTCTGTGCTCTGGCCTTATATCTCTCTTTCGTTATTGGTTTCAGAAGCATGCTCTACAGCCATAGGGCCAGAGCACAGACTTCTGCATAACGCATAATACACAACGCATAAGAGAATCAACCAATCAGAGTTTTTCATTTCTGTCCTGAGGAGGGAAATGAAGAAAACTAATTGGTTTATTCTCTTATGCGTTATGTATTATGTGTTATGCAAAAGCCTGTGCTCTTGCCCTTATCTTTAACACTATTTATCATTGGCCGCGTTCAGCAGAAAAAGCTGCTTACTAAGCGTTTAGTGATTATTATCTATGATTGGAGTATTCTTTTAGATCTTTAACAAATTCAGGGGAATGAACCAATCAGACGATAGTCACTAGGCACTTAGTAAGCAGCTTTTTCTGCTGAACGCGGCCATTGTTCCTTTTCCTCTTTTATCGATAGATGGCACTGGAATGGTCGTCGGTATTACTTTTGATTAATTGAATATTGATTATTTTTATCTTGTAAAATTGATTATAGTTTCTACAATTTGATTATTTTCTAGACGATAGTTTTTTTTATGTTACTAGAATTAATAGCATTTTTGATTGCAACTTCGAAAGCGGGAACGAAAAAATCATAAAATCTATTTTAGGTTATTAGGGTTAAAATCGAAACCCTACATTTAAATGCATTTCGTCTAATTAATCGTCTATTTAATCTATAAATCGTTCTCAGAACAATCTGAACCTAACCAGTGTTATTCGAGAATGCTATGGGCAAGAGCATAGACTTTTACATAACACATAATACATAACGCATAAAAGAATAAACCAATTAGTTTCCTTCATTTCCTTCCTCAGGACAGAAATGAAGAACTTTGATTGGTTGATTTCCTTATGCGTTGTGTATTATGCGTTATGCAGGAGTCTGTGCTCTGGCCCGATGAAATGGAGATGACACGTGCTTTTTGTCGATTTTAGTAATATGCCAGAAATACTAGATCTCTTCTTTTTCGATGGACTAGTGCAATAAGTCGGAGTAAAACAGATATATTTTCTCCCATTCTAACTTATTACACTAATGTGCACTAGTTCAAAAGTTCTTCGAAAAAGGATAGACCCAATGATTGCGTTCAGAAAACAAAGCGCTCACTGAGCGCTTAGTAACTATTGGTCCTTACTGTTAGATCCTTACATTCAGATCAATAACGTTGACGAATTACTCAACCGTTGTGTAACCGTTGTGTTTTCTGAACGCAGCCAAAGGCTGCATTCAGCAGAACAAAGTGATCAGTGAGCGCTTAGTGATTCTCACTCCTGATTGGTAAATACTTTTGGGTCTATGAAGAATCTAAAAGAATGCTCCAATCACAGATAATAATCACTAAGCGCTCACTGATCATTTTGTTTTACTGAACGCAGCCATTAGCTGCGTTCAGAAAACACAACGGTTACACAACGGTTGAGTAATTCGTCAACGTTATTGGTCTGAATGAAGGATCTAACAGTAAGGACCAATAGTTACTGAGCGCTCAGTGAGCGTTTTGTTTTCTGAACGCAACCATTGTGTTTTGATTATTACATCTCTAATAATGTATTAATGCCTGTTTCTATCAAATTTGGTTAATTTAATCGGCTGGTTGTTACAACGGAATTGACCAGTCACACTTATCATTAATCAGAATTGACAAATACGATTGGTGAATTCCGATGGAATAACCAATCACACCATTGGCTGGATTTACTGTCGGTCCGTAAAATTTGGAAATGAACCCACATTTGACTTGTCGTTGAGTCAGTACGCCAATCTTCACTAACGCCAATAATAACGAAACCTACAGTAAGCTTTTCTCGTTTTAACACGCTCACCTGACAACCAATAGGAGTATTCTTCTCCTAGGGATAAAAGCGCTACCGAGCTAGAATCGCCGGAGGACGAATTCTATCATTGGTCACCGAAAGCTCGCGCATTGCACGTCGACGCGGATTATTCGATACATGTTGCTGGAGCGCTACAATCGTCGCCATTTTGTTTATTTTTGCGTGAAACCGAGAAATCCGCGAGCGATCGCGACGCACGGGTTCAGCCGTTCGCGCGCACTCGTTCGTGGTGTTCAAGTAAGAATCCAGTCGCGGTTGGACACGGTGAGACAAAGAAACAACAAGGAGGGAATTAGCGAGCACTGCTGCAAGAGAACAACAGTGTTATACGCAGGTAGGCCCTTGTTTGCATACGGTAGCGCATAGCCGGAAGTTGCGGATAAGTCGATCGAGAATCGGAGCCAGCGATCGAGATCCGGCGGTCACGGCAGTAGAGAAATCGAGCGCGAGCAAACCGAGTAGTCGCGTAAAGAGTGAGTAACGTGCGTGTGTGTTGTGTGTGTGCGTATATATGCGCCGCGCGCGGTCGTCACTGTCGTTGTCGCAGTCGCAGTTAATTGTTAAATTAATCGTCGTCGTTGTCAGTGGTCGTCGTTGCGTCGTCGCTGTGCGCCGAATAAGCACGCAGCGATTACCGTTTTTCCGCGGATCGGCCGCGGTGGTGCAGAAGGGGCAGGAGGAATTGTAGGAGGAGGAGGAGGTCGGTGCGCGAGACGCCGGAACGAGAAACGAGGCGATCGCCGCTACCAACGCCACCACCATCGCCAGCAGCAGCAACACACCACCGCCACCACCACCACTACCACTACCACTACCACCACCACTACCACTACCACTACCACTACACCACTACCACCACTACCACCACTACCACCACTACCACTACCATCACATCGTTCTCATCATCATAGACGTCGTCGTCGCCGTCGTCGCTACCGCCACCGCCGCGAAGGTAGCTGCGATTTCGCCGTGGCGACATCCGGAAGAGAAGCGTAGGAGTACGTGCGGGTACGCTGCTACTCAACGGATCTAGCAGCGAGAGAGGTAACACGAGGGTGGAATATATGCTGTGGGCGTCCCCCGTGCGAGTGGGGGCACTTGATGGCCGCAGAAATTGGGCGAACTGCGAGCAAACATCAATCGTCGGAGTGCGGTAAAGCGACGTCGCTGTCGAGTCTCGGTAGCGACGTGGGCTTGGACAACCGGGTGATCGTGACAACGGAGTCGGAACAACCGCAACAGCAGTCGCGGCAGTTGCAACAGTCGCATTATCAGCAACGGCAATCGCCACCACCGCCGCCGCCGTCGCCGCCGCCGCCGCCGCCGCCGCCGCCGCCGCCGCCGCCGCCGCCGCCGCAGCCGCAGCCGCAGCAGCAGCAACATCCGCACGAGCGAACGTCGTTGGCCACGATACAACCGAGGAAGACACTCGTTAAAACAACAACAACATCAACGACTCCTCCTTGTCGCAATCGTAAGCCGTTTGTGACCGCGCCAACGTCGGGCATCAACCAGCAACAGCAAACTCCAACCGCAGACGTAACCTCGACGGCGGAGGCCGTCACCGAGGTACCCGGCGCCATCAAGACGACCATCAACATCGGCTTCGCGATGAATCACGTAAACGACCAGGAGAACCTCAAGCAGCTGAGCCTCGCGCCTGTTCAGGTTAACGAGGTCGAGGAGATGGACACGCAAGAGGGTAAGTGCGCCTTCTCTCTCTGTCTTTCTCTTTCTCTCTCTCTCTCTCTCTCTCTCTCTCTCTCTCTCTCTCTCTCTCTCTCTCTCTCTCTATTCCCTCCCCTCCCTTTTTCTCTGTCTCTCTCTTTCTCTCTTCCCCTCTCGTATTACAAACGTAAACGCAAAGTCGATGAGAGAGAGAGAGAGAGAGAGAGAGAAAGAAAAAGAGAAAGAAGTGCTCTCTCTCTCTGTCGCGCACCTCTTGCTACTTTTCTTCGGATTTTTTTTGTTTTTCCGTCCGACAGTAAGCACGCGAATGGAATGATCTTTATATTTAGAAGGAAACTCTCCGCGGTGCAGCTTTGTATATCGTGGTTGTCACAAAAAGAAATCTTAATGTCGTTTTCAGCCGACAAAATACATGCAACCGGTTTTTCGTATAATTAATTAGTGTTAATGTGTAAATAATTTGTCCACAATTAATGTGATATCAAATGTCTTTAATCATTGTTTATTTTGTTTTTCATGTAGAAGTGCTTATTAACCTTGAAATTTCTATAGTACAGTAAAAATATAAATGTAATAATTATATGTTTTTGTAAGAGGATGTATGTATTATCCATAAGCAGAAACATATCTTATGAGAGAGAAGAATTTATAACTTTTTATAAAAATTATTTCTTATTTCACTCTGCTTTAGATTAAATATGACAATTACTATGTTGCACTCAACTGGTCATATTGTTATATTATTATATATAAATGCTTTTATTACTACTTTTCTTATTTGAATAGAAAAAAAATTTTATATACTTATTAAGTTGCAAGACAGTAATATAGTTCAGGGGTTGTTACCTCTCAATATATTAATATAACTCATGTTATTATAAATTATGAATATAACAATATATAAATAGAAATGAAATATAAAACTATGTGTTACATAATTGTTTGTTGTATGTTGTTTCATAATTTGAAGTCTGATATATGAATAAATGTAATAATTTCTGCAAATGTTTATGAAGAAAATTACACTATATATAGCCATTATATATATATATGAAGAATTAGTTGTTAACTCATATTATACATTTGAGTAAATGATACATATGTATATATATATATATATATCATATGATGTTTTCTACCTGTATTGAATAATTTATTTAAAGTCAAGCAAATGTATATCTAATATATGGTTTACAGGGTGAATATCAAATTATAATTATACTATCGATGATCTTCATCTGATATAATTCACTTGTTTCCTTTTCTCTACCAATCAAATTGTAATAATTTACCAAGGCATTCCACATGGAATATTCTATATATTGTGACTTTTATGTTTTTATGAAAAGAGTCTTTTGCTATGATACTTTAGGTAAATGAGATATTGATACTGTGCTTATACAATCACTTCAATAAAAAGGTGACACCTGTCTATTTAACGTATATAATTTGGTTAATACACTTATATTATAAATTGCTTATTTAATTAATATAATTCTATGAATCTGTTATAAAATTTAAGGTTAACTCTTATTTCTTATATTATCCTGACAAATATTTCCTTTAAGATATTTATTAAATTTGTCTTCTAAGAAAGAAGAAAGTCTTAAAAAGATGAATATTACTGACTTTGTAGAAACTCCAAATGATGGTGGGGGAGATGGAACTGACAATCGTCCTATGAATGGTGAACCAGAGTTAGCGTGTATAGTTCAAGATCAAGAAATGGAAGAAGGTGTGATGATTTCCTTGCTTATATTTTTACTTAAATTTTCCACAATTAAAAAATCATTTCAGTTCTATATATTATGCTATTGTGTACATTGTACACAATAGTACATTGTACATTGTGTATTTTGATAAAATTATATTTTTTTTTGAGTAGATGAAGCAAGATCAGAAGCAACTTTCCGATATACTGTGGAAAATATATCAAAAATGAAGGATTCCCAATTGTCACCTGCATGTTATGTTCGTAATTTACCATGGAAGATTATGGTGATGCCACGTTCAAGTCAAACACAAGAGAGACAACCCCAGAGATCACTTGGCTTTTTCCTTCAATGCAATGGAGAAAGTGAATCTACTTCCTGGAGTTGTTATGCAGTTGCAGAATTGCGTCTTCTATCTTGTAAAGAAGGACAAGAACCGTTTAGCAGAAGTAAGTACTACACTATATATTATAAAGGTTTTTATTTATTTAATACTTAATTTATTAATATATTTGAATTTCTTGAAAAATAGTATTGTACATATGCATTTTTGTAGTAATACATTCTATATTTTTATAGAAATTCAGCATCTCTTCTATAGCAAAGAAAATGACTGGGGCTTCAGCCATTTCATGACCTGGCAGGATGTTCTGGATCCTGATAGGGGTTTCATAAAAGATGATTCAATCACGCTTGAGGTTTGTGTTGTATCTTTATTAATCAATACCGTCGAGTAATGCATTTCATCTATCTTTCAATAAGTCTTTATCTATTTATTACTCTTGTTATTACCGGAGTTGTTAAGCCATTTGTAGTAAATCGTAATTATATGTTTGGCAAAGTTAATTTTTCTCATAAATATGAATAAATATGAATGAATTTTCCAACTAAATATTTATTTACTGATTTAACACAATAATCTCATTAGAGAGAGAGAGAGAGAGAGAGAGAGAGAGAGAGAGAGAGAGAGAGAGAGAGAGAGAGAGAAGAATGTAAATGCACTAGTAATGTAGAATTTATACTGAAGATGTTTGTGATACTTCTCGATTTTAATCAGGTTCATGTAGTGGCTGATGCACCTCATGGTGTCAGTTGGGACAGTAAAAAGCATACAGGTTACGTAGGCTTGAAGAATCAAGGTGCTACATGCTACATGAATTCTCTATTGCAAACTTTATATTTTACAAATCAGGTTGGTGAAAAAATATGAATTTTTTTTAAGCTAAAATATGTCTTTTGTTTCGCCTGTTTAATTAATTCGTATTTGTTTTTCTAGTTGCGAAAAGCAGTGTACAAGATGCCAACAGAAAGTGACGATTCTAGCAAGAGTGTTGCCCTAGCTTTGCAGAGGGTCTTTCATGAATTACAGTTTTCTGACAAGCCTGTCGGTACGAAGAAATTAACTAAAAGCTTCGGCTGGGAGACATTGGATTCTTTTATGCAACACGATGTGCAGGAATTTCTACGTGTGGTAAGTGCATTCTGTATTTCATTGTAATTTATTTGTATCGACCAATTATATGTATATATAAACTATTGTCTCAAAAATTCAGCTGTTGGATAAATTGGAGAGCAAGATGAAAGGAACATGTGTGGAAGGTACAGTGCCAAAATTGTTCGAGGGAAAAATGGTGTCCTTTATCAAATGTAAAAATATAGACTACAAATCCACAAGAGTTGAAACATTTTACGACATACAGTTGAATATAAAAGGCAAAAAGAGTAGTGAGTATTGTATATATACATATATATATATATATATGTGTGTGTGTCATGTATAAATATATATATATTTATTATGTATATGGGAGGAAGAAAAATTGACGTATTTGTATATAGCAATTTAGCAGAAAACATGCATATATTTTGTTTCAGTTTATGAGTCTTTTAGTGACTACGTAAGCACAGAAAGTCTTGACGGTGATAATAAGTATGACGCAGGAGAGCATGGATTACAGGAAGCAGAAAAGGGCGTTATCTTTTCATCATTTCCACCGGTTTTACACCTACACCTCATGCGGTTTCAATATGACCCAGTTACGGATTGTTCTGTCAAATTTAACGACAGGTAAGAAAATAAAGATTATCACTTTTCACCGATTCATTTCGACCGAATTATATAGATCAATCACAAATCAATGACTAAATCTCTCAGAATTTGCATAATCATACAAACTTATTTTTCGAGGTTTGAGTTCTACGAAAAAATTAGTCTCGGCAAGTATCTGCAAAACAAAGAAGCAACGAGCGCGGATTATACATTACATGCAGTACTGGTTCATAGTGGTGACAACCATGGAGGACACTATGTTGTATTTATTAATCCCGCTGGTGATGGCAAAGTGAGTAAAAGATTTAGAAATTTGTTTAGGTTTGTTGAACATTATTACGATATGGAGACTCGTTTATATAACTTACTTCAGAAAACTGCCGTTGCAGTGAATGCAATAGAAGGAATCTTATATAATAAATGATCTCTCACAAATATCTTAGAATAAATAATATACTTTGTTATTTTATACTCTTATTCATATCCTCAACTGCACATTTTATTCTTGTATTTATGGTTATGCATCAATAGTACATAATTGTATATATTTTTTACAACTTTGAAACGAATAATTTTTAAATTTAAGACGACCACGTGAAATATTTGTTGCTATTTGATTTGTGGCATTTCTATCGATAATATCTATACGATTTAAGATAAAATGTTATGTCGCAACATCTCCGAAATACTTTGTCCTATTTGTTCTGTGATAGTGGTGTAAGTTCGATGATGACGTCGTCTCACGTTGCACGAAGCAGGAAGCTATTGAACACAATTACGGTGGTCAAGATGAGGACATGTCTATGGCTGTGAAACATTGTACTAACGCTTATATGCTGGTTTACATAAGGAATTCAGAGCTGGAAAACGTCTTGCAAGAGGTCAAAGAAGAGGATATACCTCAAGAGGTCAGAAACGTCCTTCAAAGAGAGCTTTCCCAGGAGTTGAGCGACCTTGAACGTGACAAAGACGCGACTGACTCGATCAAAGACTCGCATACAGAGACCGCGACTCTTCGTCCGTGCACGCAAAATCCTCGGAATCCAAATCTTTATATTCATGATTTTTAACCGACAAAAGACGCCAATAGAGAAATAGGCGGAGAAAGTTGTAAATTGCTTGCGTTGCTTCTCGATCAAACTCTTCCTGAAGTCTCGATGTCATATTGAGCCACAATGAGCCTGCTCCTAGTATATAGGATTGTCAGATTATCACATCGCATTGGGAGTACATAATGTTTATGTGTAAGAGAGTCTCGGGGGATTTCTCCGCCCTCGTTGCGATATTTTGGCTACCACTAATAGTTTAATTTTTGAGGTAGTATGTACAAATTAAAGAGGGTTCATTTGATGGAATTATATATTCTATTATCGTACGTTTCTTTTTTTCCGATCGGGTTATTGTTATTCATTTTTTCTTGAATATTCTCTTGTGAAAGATTTACATTACTATCAGCTTTGAGCTGTTCTACCGGTAAATGTTGATATTATAGAAATCTTGTCTATTTTTAAGTACAATGTTACATTTATGATGGTATGATATTGTACCATACAAAGGTCGTTTACGCGCGCGCGTTAATTCTGTTTCATTAAATCCGTGCGTGTCGCGAAGTAAATCATGTCAGTTAACGTCCGAACAGAGAAATCCTAAAGATTAATATAAAGCGATTTTTAATCGACACTTGTACATTGTGGTTTGAGCTCTATGACACATGTTATATAGAGATTTGTTTTATATGGACAAAGACGCATTTGATGCCTTTTTATAAAGGGTTTTTTCGGTACGGACGATTGAGGAATATGTATAAGAATATAATGTGATTTCCTTTTTTTATTTATTCTTAACTGAAATAATTTTATATTAACGCAAGGAATTAAAGAGAAAGAATGATGACTGATGTACGTGTTGCACTTTTGTCACTGTCGAACATGTTGATCCAAAAAACAGGGAAAAAACGTGAAGTCTGATCAGTCGGACTAATAACGTGATGAGCCTTAGGATTGTTTTGGGAATGTTTATTGTAACAAACATTGTATAATACTATATACGTGAAATTAATCATTGTATTGTAGTATACTGAAATCACACATAAGTGAAAAGTGAACAAACATATCGCAAGGAAAATTTGGATATGTGTGAATAATTGTATAAGAGAAAGAAGAAAACGAGAAAGGGAGAGAAAAAGAGAGTTATTAGTGAGAATATAACAGGTATCGATCAGAGCTAATGAAGTTTTTAGCTCTTGCAATATAATACTTATATGGAAGGAAGAGAAGTAACCACCATTAAGTAGTACTTGTCAGTAACATCAGCTTCCTTGATACGTCTTCTTTAGCATATTTGCTATTTAACTGGATTGTTTAGTGAGTGAGACATCATGTGATTTATATTAATCAATTTCGCGGATTTTTTCCTGAACTAATATTTAAAATCAATATGAAAGGTAACACATGCAAAGTAAGAACTCCGTGTTTTAACAGAGAATGCAATTACTCGAGGAAGTCGTTAATTCATTAAATTCTCTCCGTGTTAATAGTGATTATGATCATTGACAGATGCTATCTCTATTTATTTGTTGTTATATATTAATAAATAGACGGAAGAACGCTAAAAAGATATCATCGATAGAGTAAATACTTTACAATAGCTTTAATCGTGAGATACCTTTAAATGCTACACACACCACTATTTTATATATAAAAATGAAAAAAGAGGAATAACGAATAAACTGTTGGGTACTGAAAAATCTTACAGGCAGAAACCGCGTTAATTTTATTTTTACCGTTGCTCTTATCTATCTTGTACAATTCAGTAACCAAGGTCCGAGTTACGAGGCATCTCCACACTACTATAGTTACATATTACATTGTTACAATTATTTGGCATGGGTGGTGGTTAATAGTGTTCTAATAGGTATGTATTACGCATGTACATAGCTATTTGCTAAAACGATCGTGTTTGATTACTACTTTGCTAAGATTTATTTCTTATATTCAAACGATCGTATTCTGGATATTGAAATGGTAACACAGCATGTGACAAGATATATGTTACCTAGTGAAATTTTAGAGAATTTATACCATACCTGTCTACGTCGTATATGTCGTGTATTAATATTTTATGTGTAATTACTAATGCACATTTACTGATTATATTTACTAGCAAGCAAGATATGTGGGGGAACCATCACTCACCGCCAGATAATTTTCATTGTGTAATTGTTGACTTGGTAGTCGATATAGCGGCAGATGAACAAAATTAAAATTACATGAAATGGAAAAATGTACCGTCATTCTTTTGATGTTTCGAATACACTTGTTCTCGAATCTCAAAAGCATGACAGCGACGCAACTCTTTTCTAAAAGAAAAAAAGAAGAAAAAGAAAAAAGAAAGCAGAAATTATGTAAATTGAGAAAAGGCAGTCGAGGAAAAATGATCAATGAAATGAAAATGAGTACACACGTGGATAATTTTAATTTTGTTGGTCTAGCTGGTGGAGAGGCTGCAAGAGGAGAAGAGGCTGGAACAGATAAGAAGAAAGGAGAGAACGGAGGCGTACTTGTACATGACCGTCAATGTCCTTCTCGAGGATAGCTTTGACGGTCACCAAGGAAATGATCTCTACGACCCAGAGCACGCTTTATATCGTGTATTTCGCGTACGTAAGCAGGCGACTGTACACGATTTTCTCGAGCTACTGAGCGATAGTTTGGTAAGTGAGCTTATTAAAGACAAATTGCTTTCATATGCTGTTTTTCCGTCGCTGACTTTGTGTGCTTACACGTGTACATCAGAATTTATTTACAAAGTAAATCGATACTGGTGTAACACTAGTGTAATGTATTCTGCGCACCAATGTGGTCCATAAAATACTTTGTTGGTGGTTTCTTAGATTATATTCTTTCACAATACACATACATACAGCCACACGTTACGGTAGGTAATCAAATATGGATTGAAATTTTTATTTTTTGATGTAAAAGTAAGAAACGATAAAATATCTTCGATTCTCCTTCACACAAAATAACAAATATTTTTAAAACAGCTTGCATATGATAAAATAATTATGTTATATTTGATATCTTTCTTTTTCATTTAAAAATTTGAAGAAAAATACAAAAATAATAACAGTTTAATATTATATATATATATATATGATTTTTTCCTACAGAAATATCCAATAGAACAGATTCGCATTTGGCCATTTAGCCAACGTTCGAATCAAACCTGCAGACCTACGTTAATCGAACCGGACGCTGATCTTCAGAAGTCCATCATTGATTGTGCGGAAAATCACAATCCTTGGAACGTGTTTGTTGAACTTGTTCCACCTGATTCAGACATGACAGCATTACCGCCTTTCGACAAAGACACCGACGTTCTACTTTTCTTTAAGCTCTACGATCCTAAAAACAAGAAAATTCATTACTGTGGTCATCATTATATGCCTGTCACTGCTAAAGTCCGTAAGTTAGAATATATATATATCTACGAAAAAGAAAACTGTAAATCATACAATTATTATTACGGACTTTCCATCTTTACAATGTTGAGGAACAGTTCTCTATACGAAATAACAAATTTTACAGAGGAACTCATACCAATTTTAAACGAACGGGCCGGATTTCCGCCAGATACCGAGCTCGCTTTGTATGAGGAAATTAAACCGAATCTAGTTGAGAAAATAGATAATCTAACAGAGCCGCTGGAAAAGGTCCTTGAGGAATTGATGGATGGTGACATTATCGTCTTTCAAAAAGAAGGAGATAATGACATGTACGAACTTCCAACGTGTCGAGAATACTTCAAGTGAGTAGCACAAAGACTTTGCAGTGCGAAGACTTTTGATATCTCTTTTATCATCAGACAAATCGTATCTTTGAACCTGCTGTGTGGGGCATTTGCTGATTCTTTGATGCATTTGCGTTTCAGAGATCTGTTCTACAGGGTAGAAGTGACGTTCTGCGACAAAACGATTCCCAACGACCCAGGTTTCACGATGGAACTTTCTCTTAGAATGACGTATGATCAAATGGCAAAGGCAGTGGCACAACGAGTCGGCACAGACCCATATCTCTTGCAATTCTTCAGATGTCAGAAGTAAGAATTTACATTTTTTATTCGCATCGTAATGTCGATGTGACGCTATATGACCAAAGAAGACGTGAGAAGTTTCGATCGTGTGATAGAACTGCTCGGGCGAAAGAAAGACGACTGTAAATTCTTCCAATTGTTTTTTTTTTTCAGTTACAAAGATTCTCCTGGCCATCCCTTGAAATGTACATTCGAGGGTACACTCAAGGAACTGGTTTCATATTGCAAGTCGAAAGTAAAGAAATTATTTTACCAACAGCTCAGTATTAGAGTAAACGAGCTAGAAAACAAAAAACAGTTCAAGTGCATATGGGTAGGCCCGTCGCTTAAGGAAGAGAAAGAGATTATTCTTTACCCGAATAAGAACGGCACCGTCGCTACGTTACTCGAAGAGGCTAAGAAGCAAGTAGAATTGTCAGAAAACGGATCGGGAAAACTGAGGATATTAGAAATCAATTGCAACAAGCTTCTGCCTGGGCCGCGGGACGAGGTACCCTTAGATAACTTAAACGCGTCAGGTACCAAGCTGTACAGGATAGAAGAGATTCCGAACGACGAATTAAATCTAGCAGAGGATGAAATGCTGGTACCAGTCGCGCATTTTCACAAAGACGTTTTCTCAACGTTCGGTATACCCTTCTTCTTCAAGATAAAACACGTGAGTAATCGTTTAAATCTCGGTTGAGACGTTAAATCGCGAGAAAGGGATAATCACATATTAACAAACACCACAAATCTCGCAGGGTGAACCTTTCCACAAAATGAAGGATAGACTGCTGAAGAAATTAGGTGTTCAGGAGAAAGAATTCGAAAAGGTAGGCATCCTTATCTTATCTTTTTTGATCTCTTATGAGAATTCATAAAAAAACTTTGAAGTTTAAGTTCGCGGTGGTGTCAATGGGGAAACCGCAGTTCATTATCGATTCGCCGGACCATTGTATCGATATGACTGATTTCCTGCCTCACACAGGTATTAAGTATGAGCGATGTCGCTCATCTTCCTAAAAGCATGTCGATATAAAGTACATACATATATATGTACATATATATATATAAACGATCGCATTGCATATGTCGTACTTGCCAGTTTCTGTCGACGTGGTTTAATTTATTAAAACTTCGTAAATCGCGTTATTAAGCTTTTGTAAGCCGCGTTGATAGAGATACGACATTAATGCGTGATTTGTAATATAATATGACGTAATGAATGAATGATCTATATTTTAAACACAGGCACATCACCACACAGGCCTTGGCTTGGCCTGGAGCACGTCAACAAAGCGCCAAAGCGCTCTCGCATCAACTACCTCGAAAAGGCCATTAAGATTTACAATTAAATTTCCACCACACGAAGAAGAATTAAATTAGGCAGCCACTCATAATAATTTATACGACTCTGTATAGTGAGAGAGCGACGTCTGATACACGAGAGGATTGGAAAAAGAAAACAGAAATATGCGTTCACATTTGTTTCTTCAGCCAGATTAAATATACGTGATTTTAATACTATGAAAACGATATCGGGAGGAAGCAAATTCAAGCTTTGTATACGATGGATTATTAAGAGACTGTCGTGAAATGTGCAGTGCTGTTTTATGCATCATGGAAGAGCGATATGATGTAGTTCCTCGACTTAAATTTGTAAAGTTCTTATGTAATCACCCGATCGGTTTGCTTTGGCGTCATGCGAGATTCGACGCGAACTTTTGCGTGGAGTACGGAGAACGTTTTCATTGAGAGATCCATTTTGTAAGCTGCACCCAACCTAACACTATTGTCTGATTATTATCTGTAACACAGACTGTGTATATCCTTTTTTTTTTCTGTAATGTTATTGGGATACTGGGAGTGTGAAAAACGGGCGCGTGACTTCTGCAAAGTTTAAGTTTTTTTCTTTTATTCCGTTATGTAAAATTCGTGTGTAGCCGTAAAATCTCTAGAGCTGCTGTACCGTGTTCCGCATGATGTAACACGTAACACTCGTAACGCTATGTTGGTATCCGAAAAAGGACTGTGTGTTTACACGCTTCTTTTTATACATATATATATATATATCGCATTTGCATTCAGGATGTTTGAAACGTAGATTCATTATTGATAGCTGCGCGATGTAAGAGAATTCTTCGAAAAAATCACGCGAAAAATTTTGTGTTGTGAAGACAGTATCACACATCTCGTTCGAGTTGCAATGTACAATCGAGCAAAATACAAAGATCTACATTGCTACGATCTCTGTTGCAACACCAAAGTAAAATGTAAAAGTATCACATATATATATGTGGGTGTATGTAAGAGAATGAGAGAGAAAGAGAGACTAGAAATCTAAAGCTGCCTTTCAAACACCCTGAAACACCTTTCTTGCGTTCAAATGTACTTTTTTATGTATTTTATCTTGTACATTTTACCGAAATCATGAAACGTCGCAAACGCGAAAGGGTACATCCGAAGCAAAGGATCAGCGAAACGAGTGCTGCTTCTAGACAAGGAAATTCTCGTAAAGAGATATGAACGCTAGCTCAAACAAATAGCACGTTCGGGCCTTTTTTTTTTAAGTGTGCGTGCGAAACGGCCGCTCTCGTTTTTGCGGAGCGACACGGGAAATGTAACGATTCTATTGAGAAAGTATATCATAGTATTCTCTTAATTTGATCATTAAAGAAATTAGCGATTCATTTTTCTCCTTTTTTATACTTAATTTATAACACTGCACATAAGAGTAACATCTTGACGAAACTCTCATCGGAGGAACCTGCAGCGCGTTATGCAAGAATTCTCGCTGCTTTTACAGATCGTTATTTATCATTTTCTACGTTTCACTGTGATGAACTTCTTAGCCGACATGTATTTAAAAACACCACACAACTCACGGATATTCGAAATAGCGTAATTGTAAGCGTTTCTAAGAGGACAGGCCGAACTTTCTACTACGTGGATTATTTAATAAATTTCTCTTTATGTTGAAAGAGAAGAAGGAACTGTTATACGTTATATTATACATTATGTGCTTAAATTATCAGTGAGAATCGTCTATGAGTTCAGACGTAATTAAGGTACAGATTAGCTCTGAAAGGGAAGAATAAATCGTAAATTATAAGAAAGCAGTAAAGTATCGTGACGTTCGCAATGTTGCATTATATGAAGTTTGTCAGTACGAACATAAAATATAACGATACACCAATTTTAAGCATTTATCTAAAATTGGATGATATATTGTGGCATGACGCTGTAACGTGGCATTTGTGTATATCGTTAAACCCATTATTTTGCATTATAAATTGCACGAATCATTAAGGATTTTGACTGACTAATTGATGCGCAGATATGTCGGAAAGTACGAAAGTGCTTTGTGCCGCGTGATTGATTTGTATCGGTTACGTGACAGAAGAAATTTCGTCGTTGCGCAGTGGTATTTACGAAGATTGAACGCGTAAATCAAGCGAGAAAAAGAAAGACAGAGAGAGAGAGAGAGAGAGAGAGAGAGAAAGTACATGGTACGCATAGTATTTTGTAAAACAGATCTAAATATGGCTGTATATACAGACCGCTCGGTGGCGCATAATCGTAATTTTAATATAACGCATCTGTGAAAAATGGTATTCCAAATTATTACACTGCAAACACGTCGAGCGTTTTTTGCTACTTACGTCTATAGTCGCGTTTACTTGAATCTGTTGGGAATAATCTCGTATAACAGCATGTTTTGTCAAACGTGTTGTTGGAGACGGTTGCGAGAGCGAGAGAATGTGTGTGTGTGCATGTGCGTGTGTGTGTCTGTGTGTGTCACTTACAATAAAATTCAAATCGAATTGTTGTAAAGAGCATAAGAGCATCACCACCATAGATCTGATTACCGAAGAGATATTTTACAGACAGAAAGAAAGAGAGAGAAAGAGAGTCGCGGATATCTTTGTACGCCTAAAGGTTGGTGTTTGCAGTATCGTTGCAATATTATAGTCGCGTTTGTTCCTGACTGCATTTCTCTTCAGTACTGTCTTTTCTAGGTGAATAGATAAAGAAAGAATGAAAAGAAGGACACGATCGTCTCATTAAGACACTCTGCCGAGTCACAAGTGAACAGCACGCTAGCAATAGATCTTTCGTAATAGAAGCGGCGATAACGATATTTTATACAGTCTGCAAGAGAAAAGGAAAGAGGTAAAGTGAAGAAAGAAATGAGAGATTTCTCTCCGAGAGATCATAGGTGATTGTTGCAATCTTGCATTGTAACGTAACTGAAGACCGTGGAAATCACATTTTGTTGTTTATATATATACGTATATATCATATACAAATTATATATATATATATATTTCGTTATTAGGTTCCTTGATTATTAAAGGCAATCTTGAGATGAAAGATGGCACGGTATAAAGAGACAGAGAAAAGACAGTTGAGATAATGAATTGAAAAGTGAACTCGTGTACCTTTCCTTTTTTCAAGAAAAAAAAATTACACAAAAGTTTATCAGAAGCGAGATCGCGTCTAAGTTATCAATAGTATTAATCACAGCAGTATCGGCACGCGCGACGAATCGGGAGCCGGCACGCGATTGCTTGTAATAGATTGTAAAACGAGACTTTTGCGTTTTTGTAGAGCTGACTTTATAAAGGAAACTGCTCAACTGCGATTGTAAATTTGACTATTTGATAGTTCATTTCTAGGGCGAGCGATGAACTAAAATGCGATGCAGGAAGTATGCGTAAAGAAAAATGATAATAAAAAGCAATACAAACGGACGCGCGCGCATGTTATCATTTTTAACGTATTACTCTTCGGTTTTTTTTTCTTCGTGCCTTTATTTGAAGAGCAATATCGTATCGCGGGGGTACATTTTATGATACTTCAGTGTACAAAAAGATATCTCACCAGTAAATTAACGTAGCGATATGTCGGACGAATACGAAATTAATGTGAAAAATATGTTTCCAGACGTTCGCGCTGCGACTGCAAAAAGAACACGAGCATGTTGTTAGGTCGACTTTCTCTATTGCGGCCGATCAGGTTCCCCCTTCCGCCTGAGCAGCATTACCATATCGTCATTAAGTATCGGGTCTAAGTATCAAAATTGAGTAATTAGATGATGAAATAAATACAGCAACGTCGTGCGTCAGCGATAAGAAAACTTGTTACGCGTTCTTTACAGCTGAGTTCAGCTCATTTTCCCGTTGCGATTCGATATCGTCGTCCACTTGTTGTTGCTTAATATCGAACCGATATTTGCGGATCTCCATATGATCGCGTACATATCTCCACGTAAGGTCACTGCAGACGAAAAATTAATGTCTCGTCTAACGATCGATTATTAAACAGACCTATATATAGCAAAAAAATGTTTTGTTAAATCATAAGATATATACTCGTTGAGGATGAAGTATTCAATACGCGAATGGATCGAAGAATCATTGCGGAAATGGGCAAATCGACACAACGACCCAGACAGCACCGGACATCCAGTGGATGTACGTTTCACGTCCAATTTATGTCCGTATGTCCGATTTACGTCCGTGGACATTAATTGGACGTAACAAGGATGTCCTTATTTGGACATCGGACCTGTAGGACGTCCGATGTACGTCCATCGAACGTTCATGTCCGAAGTTGTGACAAACGTACGTCCTATGGACGTCTTTTGTAAAAAAATGAACATATAGTGGATGTCCAGTGGACATCCGTGTGCTATGTGGGGAAAGGAAAGATAGACAAACGATAAGGGAAAGCATTCGGAGGCCTTGATAAAAATGTCGACTCGAACGGCTGATCCAGACTGGGAGTTGCATGCGTATGTGCGCATGTACGAAGCAAGAAAAAGTCTCAATCGCCGTATAGTGCACTACTTTCGAAGGAGCGACGCGAAATCGCACAATTCGCCTTAGCGAAGTTGCAGCCTGCTCGTTGCCGAAGCTGAGTCTCTTTGCATCGTCCGAGAATTGCGAATCTTTTCGTCCAAGCATCTTGCGGTAACTATAAAGACTCGTCTACAATAGCTGTAAAAGTAAGGCTGTAAGGCAGTAACGTAAGCTGTCAGCGAATGAAAATATTTCATTTCTTGTCTTGCAACCTTACAGCCTTGCTCTTACAGCTAATGTAGACGAGCCTTTAGATTTCTTGAAGAAGCGCGACTTGGAAGCGATCTTGAAAGGAACACTGCGGTCGTCACCTGGAAAGTAAGTATTCTATCGTGAATCTCAAGATGAGGCGAGCTTGAGCAGATTTTTTTCCATTATGTCCATCGCAGACTTATTGATTGAATACATTTTCACTGGGAGATACTGCTGTGTACAAATTCGATTGAGCGATGAAAATTACTCAACGACGTCATCAATCGTGTTTCAGAAACGTACAATGGCGCATCGACAAATATAGTAAGACATTATAGTCAAATGAAACGAACGAATCATTGAATTAAAATAGAAAAATAGAAAAAATTCATATTTCAAATTTGTTGGATCTTTGTGAAATTTTAAATGTAAAGGATAAGAAATGACAGAAGTGAGAAAATCGCTCATTTTTTTAATTATTAAAGTGTTTTTTAATATTTGATTTTTTTTAAAGTATATGTGACGTAAATGCTCACACATAATCACAGGAAATTATTTGGAAAATGTTTAAATAATACATGAGATTATTGTACATGTAAGAAATAAGAGTAATATATGTGTCAAAAACAGCAAGTAGTATCAAGTCAAGTCACATGTAAACATATGTCTAAGCATCAAGAATATTTTATTTTAGTCTGGTGCATCAGATGTCACATATTTATTATGTCTTAATATTTTTTTTTAATTTATTTAAATTTATTTATTACTGTTTAATATGTATTTATTATTGTTCATCTATTCAATATATTCTAAAACAGATCCTCACAAGTTATCAGAGAGGTGAAAGTACAATTTATCAAATTTCCTCGCAATGTTCTCCACCCAATTTACCCATCATATGCAAGCTTGTGAATTGTATACAAGGAATCTTAATTACAATGTCGATAACATATACGACGTCCGATGTACATGTATATTATAAGAAGTAAACACACTTTTAAAACGTATTTGTGTCTCTGCTGGTATAGCAGCGGGAGTCGAACAGTAGTCGTCGATGAGAGAGAGAGAAGACATGCGACTTGACGAGTAAATCCTACGTGAGAAGAATCCTCCTGCATCGCACGTTTTTTCTTGCAATACTGAAACAATAAACGGTAAGTTTGAAATTTCGTAGAATATATTAGGGTGCGGTCCATCAATCGCTACAAATGCTTCGAAGCGTTTTTACTTCTCTCTCTTTCTTCGTTTGCATCCGAGAAATAGAACGAGAAAGAGAAACGCTTCAAAGCATTTGTAGCGGTTGCCGGACTCTTAGTCGCTCGGATTTCGCGCGGAAAAAATAAACATGCTTTCCCTCGCGGGTGGCACTCGTGACGTCACGGGACACATGCGCGGCGACTCGACAGTTCTCGCGTCCATAGGTTGATGGATACCATTTGCGATTCGATCTGCAACGGAAGCACAAAGGAAAAAGTCAAATTAATTATCTGTGCGCTTATTCCCCCCCGAGCAGAGAAATCACGACGGCGCGCAGAGGATCAGACACGACGTTGTGACTTGAGCGGACACGTGAGTGACGTAATCATCCATCGGTCGCTACAGCAGTTGCGAAGTGCGAGATGGCCGGCAATTGGTCGACTGTGAATCGGCGCGCTTTTCAATTGACCGAGAATCTGCTGAACGCCCGGCATTATTGCGTCAGACATTTCGTCGAGGTAGCGACACGCACTCCGCGGATCTGCTTGCCGGCGCGAAGAGGCGTTCATCTTTCGACCACCTGTTGCATGCCGAAGCGAGTGAGTTATATCTTTGAAATAATCACGCGACTTCAAAATTGATATGCGCGCGACTGTAAAGGTCTCTCAAACGATAAAATCCCTCATGCAGTAAGAGATGTTTTTCGTTATTGCTATTGCACGTAGTCAAATGGAGCATACTCCCGGTAGATCTTGACAATGTCGCGTAAAAATGACCTTGCTAGCTAGATTAATCTCCGACCAACCTCAAAACACGTTACGAACTTTGTCGACGGATACCCTTTGACTATTATGATTTTCTTTTTCGAATCTTCTCTGAATCTTAAGAGAAATAAACGGTAAGCGCGAATTATGCTGCTGCATAATTTGTGTATTGTTTATTTGGCTTTTTTGACTCATTTGTCGATGAATTTTGTCAATTTTTGACAAAATTCAATTTTCGAAAAATTATTGTCCACTTTTTTATGTTTTTTAACACAATATTTGTTTTTGTCTTTTAACATTCCCGCATTAACCCCCTACTTAACATTATCTTATATAATGTAATTTTAAAAAATTATACAAATGTTATCTGACTTATCACAAAGCGATACTTTATCTCCCTCTGTTATGATAACACATTCATCATACGATATTTATCGGGAAGATTTCTTCATCGATCATTCACCACGAATGCCGATGGAAAACGAAGTAAGATTAATCATTGTACATTCTGAATCGTCGGGTCTAAATATGTTTTTGTTCTCATTACACCACGCGTGGGGTTATCAAATGATATACTTTGAACTTCTTTCGAGTTATGAACCGAACTACAAACGCGATATGTTACATAGTATTCAGATGCAGTCGCTGTAACACTCATTTCGTCTCTCGATAATCTCCAAGTGTTCGTTAACGAAATTTATTAATACAATTCGGATTATTTCCAAGACTTATTGTGAGGTAACATCAAACTAAAAATAGAGCAAGAAAGCATATTAAAATCTGAAGAGCTTGAAAAATATTTTAATAATTATTACTGCATCATTCAATTAAAAATCATGATTTCACAAACATTACACATTGTTATCCAATTAATTAGATTAAATTTATTGATTATATTAATTCAATTGATTATACTAAATAATGAATTTATTGTAATTAGACTATGTTACAATTATTAACAGAACATGACATCCATACTCTATTCCAATATTTGGGAAACCGATCCCGAGCTCTTTGAGTTGATAAAGAAGGAAAAGAAACGACAGAAATATGGGTTGGAGTTGATTGCGAGTGAGAACTTCACATCTCTCAGTGTACTGCAGTGCCTGAGTTCGTGTTTGCACAACAAGTACAGCGAGGGAATGCCTGGTCAAAGGTATTAATCTTTTATCATGATTACTTTTTTTGATATCGCATTTTTTACCGTGAAATTGTTCAAAATTTCGATGAGAGTCGAATTCTCCTCTCTTTCTCTACTCTTACATGTTTACAGATATTATGGTGGAAATGAATACATCGACGAGATTGAGTTACTAACGCAGAAACGTGCCTTGGAAGCTTTCAATCTAAATCCTGAAGAATGGGGCTGTAACGTGCAGCCTTATTCAGGAAGTCCAGCTAATTTAGCGGTATACACGGGCCTGATAGAACCTCATGGACGTATAATGGGCTTGGATCTGCCCGATGGCGGGCATCTCACTCATGGTAAATGTGAATAAATATACAAATTTACGTATGTGCGCCGCAAACTGCTTCACGATCAATCTCGTCTGCGTAGGTTTCTTCACAGCATCCAAAAAGATTTCTGCCACATCCATCTTCTTCGAATCCATGCCATATAAAGTCAATCCCGAGACGGGTCTGATCGACTACGACAAGTGTGCAGAACTTGCGAAATTGTTCAAGCCGAGAGTCATCGTCGCTGGAATCTCCTGCTATAGCAGATGTCTGGATTACAAACGTTTCCGTCAGATCGCCGACGAGAATAACGCCTATCTTTTCAGCGACATGGCGCACGTCTCGGGTTTGGTTGCCGCTGGATTAATATCCAGTCCTTTCGAATACAGCGACGTTGTTTCGACGACCACACATAAAACTTTACGGTATATAAATATATATTATATTATAACAATTGAATTCACTTACTGAAAAATAACTGAAAGGTTGAGACATCTTCCTTTGTCTATTGCAGAGGTCCGCGCGCCGGCGTTATCTTTTACCGGAAAGGTATCCGAAGCATCGCGAAGGATGGGAAGAAGATCATGTACGACATCGAGAATAAGATCAATCAGGCGGTTTTCCCAGGCCTTCAAGGTGGACCCCACAATAACGCTATCGCCGGCATAGCTACCACCATGAAGCAGGTCAAGTCGCCGGAGTTCCTTGCTTATCAGAAGCAAGTAGTGGCCAATGCGAAGAGACTGTGCCTCAGTCTGCAGGACCGCGGTTACAAGATCAGCACGGGTGGGACAGACGTGCACATGCTTCTGGTGGACCTGCGACCTATGAGTATCACCGGTTCGAAAGCGGAGAGAATCTTGGAATCGATCTCCATCGCGTGCAACAAGAATACTGTTCCTGGTGACAAAAGTGCGCTGAATCCCAGCGGCATTAGACTAGGAACACCAGCGCTTACCACTCGCGGCCTGGTCGAGGCCGATATCGACAAAGTTGCGGAATTCATACATAGAGGTAACATTCTTGATTCCTGGTATTTGTGCTCAAGCGGCTTTTAAGTGCGGCTTTTAAGTGCTAACGAGCTAAACATTGTGACTCAAATAACATGGTCTACGCATTAAGAGATTACCGTAATCATAATTTTATATTATTCTTCTGCAGGATTACTGCTTTCGAAGGAAGTAACTGCTATCTCGGGACCAAAGCTGGACGATTACAAGAGAGTATTAAATACTAACGAGAGTATTAAGGCGAAAGTCGCGCATCTGAGGGAGGAAGTAGAAACATTTTCAAACAAATTTCTAATTCCCGGTCTTGAAACATATTAATATCGCAGTAGTGATAGATTCGCTAATTTTCGCAAGTTCAGCCGTGCGCCATTTTTTACAATGTTTTTATAAGGAACATTGTAGAAAACGACACGAAGCATGGATCTGTATTGTACACAGATTTTTATATCGTATGTTAGATTGTTGTAAGCATACTTGATTTACACTTAAATATGCTTAGATACTAGCAACTTAGATGTATATAGAAGTTTATGATACTGTATAATTAACGATGTGACCGTTATTTGTAGAATATTTGTACAATATAAGATGAATAATATTAAATAACAAAAAAGTAATTTCCTACGTAAATAAAATATTATTGAAGATTGTTTCATAATGGAAGAATATCATGTATACCAATTTTCAAGACAGTTTGATAAATATAAGATTTATATTTTTAATAAACTATATATGGTTATTATTTCGTATATTAATTATTGTTATATTTAGCATTTCGTATATTAATTATTGTTATATTTAGCATCATGCTTTTATGCAATTGAATGTTAATATGATACAAATTTCAGTCACTCTTACCATATTTATACTTTGCGTTATTTAAATTATATAATTCTTTTTATTTTGCAACATACTTATAGTTTTCATTATTATTCGTTTAGTTATCAATTTCGTTATTTTTCTGTATTTAATATACGTTGTTTTCAAGTAAATTAATAAGTCTTTCAATTGAACCAATAATTATTTACGATAATACGAGATCGTATGAATATATCGAGATAAAAAATACAATTTAAGAAAAATGTCAATAATCCGTTGTATTGTGTGAAACAGTTAATATTAATTTTAATTAGTAATATAACGATGGTCACGTATACACATTTTTTTACTCAAGAATTACATCTAATTAATAATTATCAGATAAAAGATTCTTTATTTTGGAGAAAGCTATTCCTACAGTAGTAGTAGTAGTAGTAGTAGTAGTAGTAGTAGTAGTAGTAGTAGTAGTAGTAGTAGTAGTAGTAGTTATTTGTTATCATATCATATTTTCAAAATATGCAATTTATACAAATATATGTACAATATATATATATATATATATACGATATACGATATATATATATATATATATATATACGATATATATATACCAGGTATGTCGGTAATTACTTTCCGGTTTTTGTAACAGATGTCACTAGCCATAAGTATGCAATGTTATGATTTGATACATATGTCATTTTATTCTACTGACATTAACCTCAAAACTACACAAGTTACGTTCCGCCAAAATAACAGCGTTATAGATTTATAATTTTTTGAAAATGTCTAGTTTTGTGCCTGAAAACGTGCATTTGCGGCACGCATTACTTTTCTTGTTTAATCAAAAGAAAAAAGCCGCTGAAAGTCATCGTTTGCTGGCAGAGACTTACGATGAGCATGCTCCAACCATAAGAACATGTGAAACGTGGTTTCGACAATTCAAATGTGATTTCAACGTTCAAGACAAAAAATGTCCTGATAGGCCGAAAATGTTTGAAGATGCGGAATTGCAGGAGTTATTGGATGAAGACCCAACACAAACTCAAAAACAATTGGCAGAAAAGTTGAATGTGAGCCGAGTAGCAATTTGTGAACGATTACAAGCGATGGGAAAGATCTAAAAGATGGGAAGATGGGTGCTACATGAATTGAATGACAGGCAATTGGAAAATCGAAAAATCGTCAGTGAAATGCTGCTTCAAAGGTATGAAAGGAAGTCATTTCTGCATCGAATAGTAACGGGTGATGAAAAATGGATTTATTTCGAAAATCCCAAGCGAAAAAATTCATGGTTATCACCTGGCGAAGGCGGCCCATCGACTGCAAGGCCAAATCGCTTTGGTCGCAAGACCATGCTCTGTGCTGATGGGACCAGGTTGGTGTCGTATATTATGAACTGTTGAAACCTGGAGAAACAGTTAATACTGATCGCTACCAACAACAAATGATCAATTTGAACTGTGCATTGATCGAAAAACGTCCACAATACGCTCAAAGACACGATAAGGTAATTTTGCAGCATGACAACGCGCCGTCTCATACAGCAAAACCAGTCAAAGAAGTGTTGAAATCACTTGGATGGGAAGTTTTATCGCACCCGCCGTACTCTCCAGACCTGACTCCATCCGACTACCACCTTTTCGCATCGATGGGGCACGCGCTTGCAGAGCAGTACTTCGCCGATTTCGAAGAAGTTAAAAAATGGCTCGATGAATGGTTTAGCTCAAAGGAGAAACAGTTCTTTTGGAATGGCATCCATAAATTGCCTGAGATGGGCAAAATGTATAGAATCAAATGGCCAATACTTTGAATAAATATATTTTAACTATCCATTGTAAATAACGTGTTTTCTTTAGCGAAAAAACCGGAAAGGAATTACCGACACACCTGGTATATATATATATATATATATATACATACATACATACATATATATATGTATGTATATATACATATAAAGTTTTTAAAATACTAATCTTACATTCTCATATGCATATGAAATTGTAAGATTAGTATCATAGATTGATACGATATTCGCATACAAAGTATCCGAAGATCAAATAAATTGGGATCAATTTGTTAACAGAATGCACATTATTCAAGAAAATAGTACATATTCATCAAAATATTAATATCAAATGCACAATATCGATTTTCGGTAAATTTAATTTGCATTTGTAAGAATAGGCTTCAATCATTTACAGTATGTATGTGATAATGTGTGATAATAATTTAATTATCATACATTAGTGTATGTAACAATGATTATGTTCCGGAGGATTATTAACAAAGGATACTCAATGTACTTACATGTATGTTTCTATTATAAGGAGGGGGACACTACTTATTAGAAATTTCAATTTATTAGCTAAATGTTGTCTATGTTTTCAGTTTTTCTTCTTTTTTTTAGTACACAGCAATATTATGTTATTCTTATTAATTGATATTGTGAAATCTTGTCTCTCTTGTCACACAATAATGGCCGTTAAATTCCTTAATTAAATACGTATTTTTCACTAGAGTTTTAAACAATTCTTGCTTATAATATTATACGAAATTCGATAAATAAATATATCTTTGTTGTCCTGGATACAATTCGTTCCTCTAATTCATCGGCAACAGTATCCCCGATAAACATTCTTTTATCTCGGATGCTATAGTTATGTCACATTTATTTGTCACACATGATTCAGTTCATATAAAATAAATTTTCGATCCAGCAGTTACACGCAAGTATACATTGATGTAATTATATGCATGGTATACAAGTTGTAGCTAATGGCAAGGATTTTATTCAAAGTCCAAGTATGATTGCTGAATTCATAACAGCATATACAGAATGACAACAAGTGTGAGTATTAACTATTTAACCAGAATAATATAATTTTTGTTTTTCCTAAACTAAGGTGAAAACACGATATTAAATTAAGATTGGATATTTTTTCCTCAAAATCCTATAAGTAATGTATATACGAAGTATATACACATACATAGAGATATATACTAAATATATACATATTTGTCAGTACTTACGTTTTGAATAGTAGTCCTTTGTAGATTATGCTTTTATATGCAAAAGTATACATCTTATTATTGCACATCCGTAATAACTTACGACTCGATTAAAAAGAAGTCTTATTACAGGTATGTATAAAAAGAATCAAGATGTATCTATGCACTATTGTGAATTCAGTGTATGTAACTTACAACTTTGATAAATTCCTGGTAAGAAGTCGTCCCACATACTTTCATTCTTCGATTTACACGTACAGACTTTTCTTCTTCTTCCAGTTGTAAGTTCCGCGATTTAAAACTTCGTATTTGGATAATACGAGCGTGATATCAGTGAAAGTATTTGGGTCGAGGAATAATATGTATTTATATATAAAAGTTCCATATATTTAGCATCACACTGCACAACGCTGCCTCATCTTTAATCAATCAAGTTCTTGCACAGCATATGAGGTTGAGGCAGTATTTCGTTGCTCATCGTCGTATTCATCATCTTCCAGGCCATTAAAAAAGGACTGCAGTAACGAGCTGAATAGTCCCTGATTACGTGGACGCGGTGGTGGAATATTGAAAAAGAGTTGGCCTATTTTGTCTAAGTACTGTCGATAACATGGATCTCTGTTTAAAGATATCTGGTACTGATCGCAGAGTACTGTGAACACCGCTAATTTTCCACTGTAAAATGTATCAGATCAAGCAGCTAGGGAACAGTTGCAAGATTGAAGACGTTTAGACATCGTGAGATGGAACCTATGCTATAAATTTACCTGTCGATTGTTTTTAGTAGAAAAAACAAAAAGTTTAATAGAGGAAGAAGATATGGCGGGCCACTACTTATTTTCGGGTGCCTTGAAGTATAAGAATTAAAGGCTTCCTTTGCGGTTGCTTTGTTTTGTAGACAAAGATACCTAGAATAGACCCATTACTTTTGGTATAATCACTTTATATATAACACAGCTCGTGTCTTTTATATTATTTTATATCTTTCATCTTGTTATATATATATATATGGTAATGTTAAACATTTTGTAAGAGCTACAACATTAATATTGATGAAGTTAGTATGCTTACTGAAAAACTGCATGAGCTATAAAGAGGTCTATTTCATTCATATATCCACGCTGCTCGTGAAGTTCTACCAACATTGCTGCGCATCCAGAACCATCTCTACTATGCATAAAGTGCTGCCTTGCCATTATATAATTTTTCTCTAATAAAATAATCAGTTTGTCATATATACATCTATACACATACATATGACATGCATGAAATAAGCATTCATTATCAGCAATGCTTCCTCCTTGATTACCTCTCCAAAATATTTGCGCTATCTTCTGATGCAAGTCTGGATGACCAGTTTTATAATCTGTGCCTTTTATACTCCATTTGAGAGCAGATTGTATAAACACCTCTCTCTCAGGGAACATGGGGCTCATTGTACCAAACAGAGTTGTAATCTTTTCGAAGAAACTCTGCGTGGGTTCTGTCTCAGATTGTGTTAAAACATTGATAAATAAAATTCCTAAGTCAGCTCCACTGGCATGCTGCAAGAGACAGAGTTACTACGGAGTTGTATAATTACGACATGACATGGAGACTGGTCGAATTATCGTCCGCAACTGACTCGAATTAACTGTGCCAGTACAAGAATATATTAACACTTCAATTAATCATTTATGATTACTTCAAAGAAGCACGACTCTGAGTGGATGTTCGATCTCGTTGAAAATCCCGATTATCATTTTTAAAGGACACGACACTCGACAACGATACTCGACTCGCGCGACTACTCGCATACCTGATCGTGCTGTAATAAAAGCATTGATCCATTATATAGCAATTCCAAAAGTTCCGAATATTTTTTCTGGCCGAGGTATCTGCAAGCAGAGGTTAGACAGACACGATGAGGATTGCGCATGGGAAAAAGACACTTTGACGACGCGAAACGATCGCGGCGGCTGACTCACCTGAAATACAATGTCCTGTACATCTGATGAGCCTCATAATAATTTTCCGAATTTATCGATGCTTCTAATTTCGCTAAAACTCGCTGAACACCGTGACTATACCGCGAGGCCATGTTTATGCTGTACGGGTAACCTCGCACTTTTACGCACTCACGGTTGGTATTAATGTACAATTTACGTATGTAATTCAAATTCGATGAAGCACGTACATCCCTGCTGACAAGGCTGATAAGTTCGTGCGTGTGTGCATACGTGTTCTGATCTAATGCATCAGACCATTAGGAATGGAGACGATTTCAAAGACGTTGAAGGAACATCGACATCTAAACAATCATGAAAATATCGATCTTTGATAGCCCATTATGTCTTAAGAACCGTGCGAGTGATTGATTTATATATATTTTTCATTTTTCTCTCTCTCTCGTTTCTTTTTAAAGCATACGTGTATATTTAGAAACGCCGACAGGTCGTTATCGACAATAAATTCTACTGTAGCTGAAATGAATACCAAGCAATAATGTTTTCAATCCATTTTTTCACGACGACGAACTCTTTCATGTATCATATTGGCGACGATCCTATCAGCTGAGTAAATCGTCGATTAGCTTGATTAAAATTTGATTAAAATCAGCCTGATACTGCTTTCCTACGAGGATCGGCTATTTCGATATTCATCGCCAGCACTGAAAATCTATAATATACGCGACACAAACTATGTATTTTCAGTATGGTGTTTTCAGTGAATATCGGAACGCAGCCGAGAAGGCCAAGTGTTTTCTTTTTACATGATTTGCATTGTCATAGCTTTTTCATTGGTCACGCGTCATCTACGGTTGGTTATCCTGTAGAAATTTTCAAAGTCGCCTGAAGAGTGCGTTAGGGTTATTGAAAACTCTCTATGCGACAGCCAACCGGCACATCCGATCTACCAACTATATGACAAATGAAATACCACCCGAAGACTGTCGATTTGCAATTGTGTCTTGCCGATGGCTTGAATCGCTCATTACACATCGCCATAGCAGCTTTCGCCTCATTTCACATTGTGCAGCTTTGTGGGGGAGTGCGAAGAATAGTATTTGCTTGCTGTCAAGAGTCTGAGTCTTTAAAGTGCAATTTTTGTGCTTGCTGATCTGCATAGGATTATTCTGGTATTGGGAAGCTATAGAAAGTATGAGACCAACATTCTTGGACGATAGTAAAATATAAAAATTTTTGGGGGTGTTTTATAGAAAATACGTCATATAGACCGTACTAAGTAGATTTATGACGTTTCCCATCTTTTTTCTGCGTGTAACGTGCATTATTGTATAGGATTATTGTAACGATAATTGTATGCGACAAAGTTCACAATGGAAGATCTCCAGAGCAGTATGGGAGGATTCGTTGATTTCCTGTTCCGTAAATTTTTCGGGAAATAATGGAAAGTCTTTATCGTCAAGATGAGCAAAATCATCGCCGCTGCCTACTAATCTATCTGTTTTACGCGTAACATAATACGATATCTAAGGTCAGTTTTTTATACCTGCACTAATTTACAATAAATTTCAAATAAAACAGATGTATTTATGGAAAAAAAAACAAAAAAGGGAGGTTACAAGATATTTTAGAACATGCAGCTACAAAGAACAGATCTTTAGATTTAAAAAAAAATCAGTTATAGGATATTCAATATATTCTATGAATTTAAGTATATATAATTATAAAGCAATTCATTCAGCAATTCAGCAAATTAATTATAATAACAGACATCTTACTAAACAATATATTAAAATAATTACAAAATCATTTCATGAGAAAATATTTAAAGTCAAACCTAATTTGATATTGCATTATTAGTAAAAAGTTGAAGATGGTAAAAAAACAGAAAGAGAAGGAAGATGAAATACACACGTGTGTGTGTATAGGAAATATAAAGAAAATTTCCCATATAAAATATATATATAGTAGCAAAGAACTGTTAGAGACAATAAAGTAAAATTTTATCAATACTTAAGGCTTGTTTATAATACCTATATATTTTTTATCTTACAGAAATGTCTCTATGAGCTGACCTTTGTAACCAATTAACAATGGAAGGATCATTAGAAGTAAAACATTCTCTCGCAGGTGTAGAAGAACCTATAAAGTCTGAAGCACCTGTACAAAATTCAGATAGTAATGAGCGAAGTGATGATATAGCCTCGCCACCTCCTAATTGTAGCATCTGTTTGGGAAAACTAATTAATACATCTTTCACGGACAGTTGTTTACACCAATTTTGTTTTGACTGTTTGGTCAAGTGGTCTAAGATAAAGACAGAATGTCCTCTCTGTAAGCAAACTTTTAAGTCGATCATACACAGTGTAAGATCGGAGGAAGATTATGATCAATATCATGTACCTCGTGAATTGGCACAATCCCAAATTCCTCAACCCCATGTTGTGAGTACTTTGGATCTTAACTTGGACGTTGGTGTTGGCAGATGGGAAGATGTACCACGATTTGTTTATAGGTATTGTAGAATATATAAATGTATATTTTATTATATGGTGAATTTATATAACAATAGAATTTGATCATTCAATATTATATAAACTCAATAACTCTGTTGAATATCAGAACAACAATGACTGGTAATCGTCGACATGGTTTGCTAAATCCAGAACAAGTTGCTAGACGCGAACAATTGCCCAGTGTAGCACCTCAAGTACCTAGGGAAGAACGTAGACGTAGACGCGATAACCCTACCGATTATCGACGCACTGTATATAGACATGGAATATGGGCTACTTTATTACCTGACATATTCGGTCGCTTTCGTGAATGTAGTGCTGAATATTATAGGCAAGTATCTCTGGTAACTACTGTCATGTTTTGATGTTCTTGTCTGTTTAGTTAATGATTAGATGAATAATTAAATTGTATTTTGCGAAATTATAATGTATGTTATGTATATTAGGCATGAATTCATGATGCGTAAACTTTATCTTGATATTTTTTGTTTAATTTACAGGAGATATCCTCAAGAATTGGATCGTCTTATACCGTGGTTAAACAGAGAGCTACAAGTTTTACTTGCTAACAGCACGCATATTACATATGTGATGAATATAATACTTGATGCCTTAAGACAATTTGATATTAGAAGTACAGAATTTCGTAATCTTGTGCGACCCTATTTCGATGTACACACAGATCATTTCGCACACGAACTGTTGAATTTTGCCCGAACCAATTTCGACATGGTTGGATACGATCAGGCTGTTACTTACTTACCACGTGGTGTGTACTCATTTACTCAGACTTGGCATCTCAATACAAAAAAGTTGATTATTACGTTGAAAAATGATATTACGTTCACTGATCGAACCGCTTTTTATAGGTTTATCGAACGAGTACGCACCTCGTATTGTTTCACCTACATCATCTACATCAAGCAGCAGTAGTAGTAGCAGCAGCCACATCAGTTTCCTTTCTGATAACTCGGATGTGCGAATACTTGAAGACGAAGCGATCGACTTAAGAGTAAACACTGTAATGCCAACTGTGCTACCTATGAGTCAACCAGGTATAAAGAATCATATAATTTTGCTTGATGATTCTCGATCATAAGCGAACAATAAGACTTAATATTTTCTATTGGTTCGAAAAAATAACAAGCGCTTTTGATTAGTTTCATAATTCAGATGTTAAATAAATATAAGTTGAGAGATTTACGTATCTTGCTACGTTGTATGTTACATAAAATTTTTAACATGTTTTCTCGCTTCTAACGTCGCGAATTAAAAGTTACGTAACGACGAATCAGGAACCTTAATACAATTCATAATTATGTAGGACCCAGTGCAGTAGGACAACTACTACGTTCGTTAGAATCATCTTACGACATACCGGAACTTTTAGTCCTTTCGTCAACTTCCTCTGAATCGGAAGGCGAGTGTGAGATAATTGGCTACGTGAAACCACGTCACGAAAGAACACCGGAAATCATAGAGTTGGTTTCGTCCGATAACGAGATGTCTCCTGTTAGATCTAATGAAAATATACCGTAAGTTGCAGAAAAAAATCATTTTGTATTATTAGGTTCAGCATTTGCTCCTATCTAACTTTATTTGCAATTAATATTGTGATACTGTAGGAATTCATTATCGTCTATTAAAATAAGTTTAAATATAAAATGACTTGATTTCGTTCATCAGATCGACCACGGAAGAAACTGTGCCAGCGAATTTATCATTACCAAGTACGTCTTATGCCACTAAAGAAATATCATCCGATTTATCATCTTCATCGACAAGTGCAGATGATAATTCTGACAGCGATTATAATCCTGGAACAAGTAGAAGATTTCGAAATCATTCAAAAAAATTGTCATCTAGGAAATTTGTCGAAAAAGAACATAAAAAAATGAACAAGACGAGAAGCCATAACAAACGATCTAGAAATTCATACAGTTCCGAGGAGAGTGACTTTAAAAAGAGAAGCAGCAGAAAGATTGTGAAAAAGAGGATATACAGTTCTAGTGATTCCAGCTCGTCCGAAGGTTCATCGACGAAATATGACGAGAAACGTTCAAAAAAGGAGAGATGCAGCGTTAAAGAACAAATGAAACTCAAAAAGGAAGAAACCTATCCGAATGCAGACGGTGATAGTGATAGCAGCACAGAGACTGACAGCAAAACAAAGACCAAGAAGTGTGATAGACAATATGTATCGAAAAGGAAACGTTCCCTTAGTTCAAGTGATTATACAGCGAAGAGTGAGAGAACCACGAGAAGCAAAGATAGAATTTGTACCCAAGAAAAATCGAAGTCTAATAATAAAGATAATAAATGCAGACAATCCAGATCTAGAAGTACTAGCCTGTCTTCTAATGTCTCTGAACAAGATAAAGTATCAGGATATAGGCATCACGAATCACGAGGCAGGAGACCGGATGACAGTGCCTCTACGAATAAAGTCACAAAAAGGCAATCTGAATCCAAATCAAAAAGTAAAACATGCTATTTCTCAGATTCGGACGATGATCATTTGAGATCGAGCAGCCAATGTAGTAATCGTTCCAACAAATCCTATTTGCGTTGGAGACGATCGAAATATAAGGACAGACATAAAGATAAGGATCGCACAAATAGATCCAGTAGCAGAACATTTAATTCATCGCAAGAAGCCGCGAGTCCAATTGTAACGTCGTCCACCTCCGCGAAAAATGATGCGCATCCAACCAAACATTCCGATTGCGTGGAGAGTCATAAGTCAACGCGCTCAGAGTACAAGAAATCAAAGCATAGAAAGTTCCACGATGAAAAGAAGTCAAGATCAAGGAAGAGAAGACGACGTCTGCGATCTCTCTCCACCTCTCAGTCCGAATAATATCACTTATGTATTAGCCAACATATTGTATAATAAATTTTGGTTTAAAAATGTCATCTCGTGACGTCGTATATATAACAGGGCAAAGAATTAATTTTTAAAATAATCAAGTTAACTTCGAGTTTGTATTCTTCTGTTTACATAGCTCTACCGTAATGTCAAGTCTTGCGTAAATATAATTGTCACAAGTTTGTGACACAAATCGGATAATGTTTTATAAATGTATTTATTAACGTTATTTTTCTTAAAAAACGAACATTTACTTTTTAACATTTGCTTATAGAAATGATATCAGTGATATCAAAGAATTTTTTCTTAAAGAAAAGAATCATTACGTGATCATTATTAATGAAAAAGAAATTTAAAATAAAGCTGTCGACGCAATATTTCTTGAAAAAATTATTACAATATGATGCATTATGAAGGATGTTCTATATTCTTATGCTACCTTTTACTGGGATGTAATTTTTTGGCAATATGTTTATATTGCGCTTACAATTATACATTTGATATATGTATATTTATATATTAGTATATGGAAATATATGTTAATGATACATATATATAGAATTAATATATGTAGAATTATATAGAATTAAAAAATATATATGGAATTAATATACATAGAAGTATACTAATATATAAATAGACACATATGTGGTATACATTATACATTTCGCACATTAAATTTCCCAAAGATTGTAAATACGTATATCTCATAAACGATTATAATTTAATTAAAGTTTGCATATAAAAATATGATGAAGCCAATTTTTTAGTAGGTGTACCTTTATATATTACTTTTTATGCGTGCGTATAAAGAGTATTTCTTTATATGTGCATAAAAAAGTGAAGGTATGCGTACGTATCTTTCACAATACTGCGTAATGGTTAACACACCGATAGAATGTTTCATTCCAGATCACTTTTCAATAAATAAATACACTAGGTAAAGTATAATTTCAATCTAATTTAAATTGTGCAAGTTTTATAATGTAAGGTATAAAATGATAAGGATATAGAATGTGATTATAACAAAATAAAAATATTAATACATGTTTGAGGATTGTTACACATTTTTATTATATTAATTTTCGTATATTACACTATGACAAATATAACTTAATCGAATGATTAATGTGTGTCGATATAAAAAAAATGAAAATCGGTGTTGGAATTATATAACGTACATATTACTGAAGTTTGCTATACACGCATGCGTGGAATTTGTCCCACCATCACTCAGTATTACTTTGAAAGTCGTACTATATCATACATTTGATGTGCTCCGTGAGATCGTCTCCTTTGCTCACAACTAACGTGTGAAATTGTGACTCTGCGGTGGAGTTCACGGATCGGAAAACGTAGACAATAAATATAAAATGGATCAAAAATTTTTTCGAGATCAGTCGTTGACTGCACGCGTACAAACGGTAATATATTACAAAGAGGTTATGTTTTTACACAATCGCTCTATGTATATGTCACGTGCACATAATGCGAATTATTTAACAAAAATGCTTGAAATGTCTTTAATATACACGATATTCTTTCACTTATTCATCGATAATTGTTCGTCCATATCTATTTATATGTTTTTAGTACATGCGTGAAAATGAAAACAAAGTATACATTGATGTGAATGAAATGGCAGATACGTTGCAAAGGCGATACAGAGATTATCGTGGCAAAAAACGTGGTGCTTTTCGTGCGATGGTACGCAAAGCTTACGATGAGCTTACTGAGTTATTTTCAAGAAAACCAATTCGTGACTGCTCTACATATGCTGATGATGATTTTGAGGACGAAGTTGATCTTGAGGTATTTGGTTCAAAATGATAATTTATTCAAAATATTATTTTAATATATTATCTCAAGTACAATGTTTATAAAGTAACTGCTTGATTTTAGTCAGATTCGCAACAAGGTCCAATAAGCAATATATTACTACAAATGTATAAGAAAACACCATGTAAACAAAATGGAAATTCAAGTGATAAAGAATTGATAGATATCAGCAGTGATGATGATGTGTCTAAAGTTGAATCTAAAGCAGAATCTAATGCTGAATCTAAGGCTGAATCTAAGGCTGAATCTAATGTTGAAAAAGACACAAAAGAGACAGAGCTTGCATGTAATACAAATGAAAAATTTGTGCATATAACTCCATCCGTTACTCTGAAGCTTGAAACTGCTGATTCCAAGTTACAAACACCATCACCTCAGACACCAACAACAGTATGTATATTTATTTATAGTATGATCTATGTTAAGATGCTGAAATGCTAAGAAATAAGTTACAAATTATAAAAGTTTATATTAACCTATTAATATTTTTCTAGCCTGCAAATGGAACTGTAAAACCAACACCTTTAGAATCTACAAAAAAACGACAAAGAGGAAAGGATAATGATAGCACGTCCTTTGTAGTTACGAAAAAAACTAAAACTATACCTATCACAGAATTAAAAGTTACATTCTCGAATGTAGGAGGTAGTGAGAAAGTTTTGAAGACTGTGTGCACCTTACTTGCTCACATGAAACATCCTGAGATCTTCAAGCAACTTGGTATATCTCCACCGAGAGGTTTTTTACTTCATGGACCACCTGGATGTGGAAAGACATTATTGGCACATGCAGTTGCGGGAGTAAGATAATATTTAATTTAATTCCAATAAAAAAAATCATCTAAAGTATATGCTACGATAGAAACATTATTTATTCAGGTTATTATGTGTATAATGAACACAACTCACTTGTTGTATTCTATATACATTACTGCGAGAGTTACATTGGTTTACATATGTTTAAATTTGTTTTATGTATATTTCATGCTAATTAATATTTTTCCATAAAATTAGGAATTAAATATGCCTTTACTGAAAGTAGCAGCACCTGAGCTTATAGCTGGAGTGTCGGGTGAGAGTGAAGCTCGTATCAGGGAATTATTTGATCAAGCTTTAGCTCTTGTACCGTGTGTTGTTTTCTTGGATGAAATTGATGCTATCGCGCCACATAGAGCTACAGCACAAAGGGAAATGGAACGAAGAATTGTTGCACAATTATTATCATGTCTAGATGGTAAAGTACTATCAATTTCATTACACATGTTACCATACTATTTTGTATATTTTCATGTTATGCCAACTTTGAAATATCATTATCAGAACTGAATCTTAAAGAAAATGGAGATAGAGTATTGATAATTGGTGCAACAAATCGACCTGATTCATTGGATCCTGCTTTAAGAAGAGCGGGACGTTTTGATCGCGAAGTGTGCCTTGGAATACCAGACAGGGAAGCAAGGGCTAAGATTCTAGCAGTGCATACTGAGAAAGTTGTACTGGCCCCTGACGTTGATTTGTCAATGATAGCTTCTCTTACTCCAGGTTTTGTAGGTGCAGATTTAGTCGCCTTGATTAGAGAAGCCGCCATGGTTGCTGTGGACAGGTAAAAGATAGCAAATTATTTTAGATATTACAAGAATTTTTTTGTTCTTTCTATATTTATATGATATATATTTGATAATATATTTATTTTTACAGAGTTTTTGAGGATCTTAAAAAATCAAAGGCAGAAGAAAAATTACCAGAAACTGAAGTAGATAAGGAGTCTGGCAAATCATCAGAAACTTTTGAAAACTCAGGAAATTTAATTGATACTGGTGGTAATGTAACACAAAGTCCAGTGGAAAATTTAGATTTGAAGGAATCGTCTGAAAAACCTCCAGATGCGAACAAGGACATAATCCAAAAACAACCTAAAATATCAGACTTGACAAGCTTGTTAACCTGGTTGCGTACTGAACCACCACTTTCTCCAGAACGTTTGTCGACCTTGCGCGTTAAACACAGTGATTTTGAATCTGCTCTACGTGTTGTTCAACCTTCAGCAAAGAGAGAAGGATTCGCAACAGTTCCCGATGTAACATGGAACGATATTGGATCGCTGCATGATATACGGCGAGAATTACAAATGGCGATTCTCGTGAGTACCAATATTTATTTATTTATAGTGTATTTATATATATATATATATATGAGTATAACTATTTACAATATTTTAAATGTTACGTGTGACAATTAAGTGACCATTCATTTTAATGTATTTCTAGTGCATAGATATTAAGTAAATACATTTATTCATTGTAGGCTCCTGTTAGATATCCTGAATACTTCAATGCATTAGGCTTAACTGCGCCTACGGGAGTATTGCTATGTGGTCCACCTGGCTGTGGAAAGACATTACTGGCTAAAGCTGTCGCCAACGAGGCCGGAATTAATTTCATTTCTGTTAAAGGACCAGAACTTTTAAATATGGTTAGTTTATTGTATTTTATTGTTTTAATATTATGTACAAAATTGTGTCTTAAATTGTACTTTATGTTTCAGTATGTCGGTGAAAGCGAAAAGGCGGTTCGTCAGTGTTTCTTAAGGGCGAGAAATTCAGCACCGTGTGTTATATTTTTCGATGAATTAGACGCGCTGTGTCCCAAGAGAACAGAGAACGACCATTCGGCCACCTCACGAGTCGTCAATCAAATGCTTACAGAAATGGACGGTGTGGAGGGTCGACAAGGAGTATTTCTAATGGCCGCCAGTAATCGGCCTGATATTATAGATCCAGCCGTTTTAAGGCCGGGAAGGCTGGACAAAATTTTGTATGTTGATCTGCCAAATGAACCCGAACGAATTGACATTTTACGTGCGCTAACGAAGGTATAGCTTTTGCGATATGGCATTAGTTTCATCTGTCATAGTTGACACTTCTCTTTGATGCATGCTGAATGTTTATAATTTGTAGAATGAGACCAGGCCGAAACTAGACGAAGACGTTAACTTGAATGAAGTTGGACATGTTACTAAAGGTTTCACCGGGGCAGATTTAGCAGCTTTGATTAGAGAAGCTGGTATGGAAGCACTGAAAGAAGCAATTGCAAATCTCGTGAGTGAACCGAAGATCTGTAGGCGGCACTTTTCATTGGCACTTGTAAAAGTGCAACCGTCTGTTCGTGAGAAAGTAAATATCCTAGCTTGATTTTTAACTTTGTTAAATGATATATGTAATAAAAATTACATATATATAATGCGAGACTGTATATTCTGCAGGATATCAAACACTATGAAAAACTGAGCAAAATATATTCAGTTAAGAACTCTGAAGTTACTCCAATGGACACACCGGCAGATACACCAGTCACTGACGTAATCATGGAACCAATGGAGATTTGAAATACAATCATTATAAAGAGTTTGTATTTGTAGGCTGAAGAATTCTTCCAATATCGATCTTTATGTTCTACGCAACGCAAGTTCTGCTTAGTTTAATTTTTACAAGTCTAATAATGTTTGATACTGGGATATAGTTATTTTCCTTATGAAAAACTATAGTGCCATTATTTTAAGATATCGATTAATGTATCTTTTTACATTCTGTATCTTATCGACAAACTGGAACGTGTATACTTTAACTTTATAAGGATATGAAATACCAAAAGCATGCACATGTAATTTTAATATAACGACGTCTCTTCGATAAAATTTTCATTTTCGTCAATAAATATTCACATTTAATATCGTACGTCCTATTTCCTTTTTTTATCTTTTTTATACATGTGTGAATTTAGTTGAACAAAATATGTTCTGGAATGAAATCTTACAGTTTCTGTAGTATTTAATCTATATATTTCTGAACATAATTTAATCATTTAATACAAATTGCATGTTCATACGTTTGATTTATCAACAGTCTCAATTGATGGTTATATAATCTATTCTGCTAAAATAAAAAGTAGATATCGCGAAATTGTATAAAGATCGCACTATAAAACATAATGAACTTTTATTTGCATTATTTTCTGCTGGTATATACCAGCTAAGCTCCAATCTGGAATAGTGCAAACAATTATATTATTAGTCATGTGAGCAAATCGATTTTCGTTTAAGAAATGCTGTCGAGTAAACTTATCTGTTAAGCACACATATCCCAAAACCAGTTACATGTGAAAGAATACTTTAGACATACAATTAGGATAATATATTGATAGTATAGCAGTTAATTATTGATATTCTGATGTCTCTATTTGGAGAAACCAGGATTACGATAAATTTATAGAATACATTAACATTCGTCTACTTTTAATAAAAACATATCACTTGTGCATATAAGTACTTTATGCTTTATCTATCTTGCGATTTTTTACAATCCAAGGATGTGTGAGTATGCCATCCATATCCAGTCTCTTTTCTGGGTCAATAACTATAAGCTGAAAAGTAATTCACTGAAAGTTAGCCAAGTTTTAAAATATAATATACATCATCAATATCAAATTATTAATGAAACTTACCTTTGAAATTAAGTCTTTTGCACCTTCGCTCACAAAGATTGGGAATGTATACCGTAATTTTGTAATATTTTTACAAGTTTCATCATTATTTTTTGCATAGAAAGGAGGCTGGCCAACCAAACATTCATAGCATAATACCCCAACACTCCAAAAGTCAACAGTGTGATTGTGGGTTTTACCAGACACCATCTCTGGTGGCAGATAATCTAAAGTACCACATAAAGTATCCCTTCGAGAAGAAGGAGCATGTACAGACCACCCAAAGTCTGCTATTTTTAATTCACCATGTGCCCCAAGAAGTAAATTTTCAGGTTTGATATCACGGTGAATTACTTTCTTGCTATGACAATATTTTAATGCATCTGCTAATTGAGCTACATAAGTGGCTGTCCTATGAAAGTATAATTTATAATTACATAACTACTCATACATAAAATAATAATTCAATAATAAAATATTACCTTTGTTCATCAAACCGTTTATCTGGTTGACTATGCAATTCTTTATAAAGCTCTCCTTTCAATGCATATTCCAATATTAAATAAATTCGTTTATCATCATAAAAATATCCATACATTCTTAAAATATTTGGATGCCTTTAGAAAAAAGAAATTATACATATCAAATAATACTTGGTTGTTCATAAATTATATATGATTTTGCATAGAAAACCAATATCTTATAATATATCTTAGATATATTATAAGTTTATTGTATGTAATATTAATACATTACCTTAAGTGCATTTGAATTTCTATTTCTCTTCGTACTTGATGCAGGATTTGGGCTTTGTCTATCTGTGCTCTGTAAAGCACCTTCATAGCTACTATAAATTTAGATTTTTTTTCTCTAGCTAAGTATACATTGCCAAACTTTCCTTTGCCCAAAGGACGGCCAATATCAAAATCCATCAATGTCCACTTCTTCCGGCTTTGATTTTCTGTATTTGCATAATCTGTATTTGAACTACTAACTTCCTGGGATTCTTCATTTGTATTGTCTTTTATCTCTTTAATGTTTTCATGAGATTTTTGTTGGATTTGATTAGAATCTGATTTAGGTGCTAACGGTAACTTAGGTGGTGGCATCAATTCTACAGATTTTTTCGCAGTGTTATTATCACTTTTTTTTGTATCAGTGATACTCAAGTGCTTAAAATTATTGACCTTTAATGTTTCTGAAGTAGATTGATAATGTGTGCTGTTATTTTCTTTATCCATTGTGTATTTTATTCCTGTTTTGCAACTTTGATAACAGTTAAATAATAATATTTCTCTGTAATAATTTATATATACAATACTTTGTGATATGTGTATGGTCTGAACAAATATATATATATATACAATAGTGTCGTTGATATCTCTCAACTGTTAAACATCAATATGACTTTTACACATACGTCTGTATATTCTGTTCACACAATATATAACTTTGTATAAATCACACTCACTATATTCGAAACAATACGGAGCTAAATACAATTGCTTAAAGACACTTCTGTCAAAATGACTCTGCCAAGGCTGGTAAGACGTGGAGTCTTATTTCTCCACCTTTTCAAAATAACGAACGTTTCTTGTTGATTGGTCAGTATGAAATACGTCATATATCACATAGAAATATAGACGAGACACTTTCGCAACCGAGCATATAGAGTACGCCACTAAACTGTCGGTATGTTTACTCCGACCAACCAAAAATCAAACGTCAAAAGTTCAGTCCTCCCGCAAAAATGTACAAAACCAGTAAATATTTTCCAATTAAAGTGAAATTACGTGTCGTCATATAATATCCGTCGGAACGTTCATTGTTCCAATACCTGATCAATTGCAGTTGTGACTCGTGATCTCTATAAGGCCCAGTTCCACAACTTGCTTTAAACTCCGTTTAAAGCAAGTTGTGGAACTGGGCCTAATTGGTCCGAGGAGAAATTACTAGAACTCGCAACCGTATCCGCGCATAGTGAAAGTTCAAGCGGCTCAAATAAAAAGAAAAATCTCCAGATGGATCGTCTTCGGGCCGAGGAAATATGACATCCGAACGTCTCACGCGATCAATTGAATGGTAAATTTTGCCTGAAATTGATCCGTAGGGCCAGAGCACAGACTTCTGCATAACGCATACTACATAACGCATAAGAGAATCAACAAATCAGAGTTCCTCATTTCTGTCCTGAGGAGGGAAATGAAGAAAACTAATTGGTTTATTCTCTTATGCGTTATATATATTATGCGTTATGCAAAAGCCTGTGCCCTCATGCCCGTAAGGTGCAAATAAAATCTAGTGGATTCTAGATGGCGACGGTCATGCTCTCCCCGTCCAGGCGCCCTGGCGCTTCGCGCGCAGCATACCTTTCTGGTGGTTGTCAGTGGCGGGTCGCCAGTGGCGTCGCGACAATGTTTGTTTACGCGAAGAACGTAACCACGAGGACGACGACAACGTCTGCAAGCAGGAAGCTCGAGGAAAATGCGAACGAGGAGTCGGCCCAATGCAGTGAGTACGTGTCACCGATTCCCCTCGTTCTACGAGCTCTCGATTTGTCGTATGACGCGTTTGACGTAGACGTTCCCGCGAAATTCCGCCGAACAGCTGACAGGAGGCGACAGCGGCGGCGGTGGTGGTGGCGGCGGCGAATTCGCGCGTCGCGGTATTATGTCGGAATTGCGTCGAAATTGCGACACTGCGAACCGTGTGTGAGAACGCGTCGGCGAGCGTCGTGCGAATCGAGCGTCCGTTCGTGACGATCCGCGAGAGACGACAGCGGACATCGACGCGCGGCCTTGTTTTGCACGATATCGGCCGCGAATGTATGAATGAACGTCCGCGAAACATAGGGCGGGCCGACGCGGTCGCTGCGACGCACACAACACGTGCGTCCATATTTATGTCCTGCGCCTTTCCGCGCGAATCTGTCTCTCTTTCTCTGCGTACGAACGACAATTTCGAAATAGCACGGGACGAGCGCCGGCTTCGAATTGACCTTCGCGGATCGCTTCGTTGGAGGTTGGCTGGTAATCCATAAACCGGGGAGAATAGCGAAATATTGCCAGCGGCAACGACTTTTCGCGCTTTCGACGAATGGCGACGTACGCTGCCGTGTGTTACGTTATTCTCACGAGATTGATTGTAAGTTTACTAACAATATCTTGAGTCACGATAATTGAGTTACGATAGTATCTTGAATTATACGGTGATGAAGCGTAGTATGCGATACCGTGATTAAAGAGAACTTACGGTACCATCGCCCGCGAGACGTGACTATTAGAAGACTAAACACCGCAAACTTATAAACTTGAAATTGCAATCGTTATGATAAGATGGTTAATTTAAAGATTACGCGTAAGTAGTGAAAACAACGTGGTCACGAGTTTCAACGTCTTTCTTTATCGTACAAAGGACTGTGCGTATCGCATCGTTTGCTACGTCAGGCGAATTGTATTAAAGGGGCGTAACTGCGAACATCACCAAGTTACAAGTATGAAAAAAGACCACCGGATTTGGCGAAAGAGATAGCGGCGCACAGATTGTCCGAGAGACGATTGATATACAACACGCAGCTTGAGTCACGGATTCTGAAAAGAAAGATCAATCTCGGTGTAATTTCATTCACGAGGTACCACCGAGTATCGCGCGTCGCGCATCGCGGCGATGCGTGTCCGTGATCTTCGATTACCGAGACACGTCCTCACGATCGTGCATGCGTGCGTGCGTGCATGCGTACATGTGTGCGTGTAACGAGAGAATACGAAAAATTCGTCGTTGCTTGCCTCCTTCCCTCCGGACTTTTGACCGATCGTCGCGACGAAACCGTATCGCGGGCGAAACCGATCGAAACCGTTTTGCCGTGCGTGCGTACATCTTCCCCTCTTTCTTCCTCTCCGTCGTTCTCCCTCACCCTGGCAGTCGCAAAAACGGAAACATGAGTCGCACCGCCACCGCAAGGTGTCAGGCCGACGTAAGGCTCGGGCTCGCGGCTGTGGACGGCCACCATTGTTGAAACACTACTTTGGTTGATGCCCTGGACGATTTTTGGGCCGAAAAATCATAAATTCACCCGTGCCCGACGGCGGAAGGGCCTCGTTGCGGTAGGTGCGTGTGTGCGCGGGCTTCGTAGTGGCGTGTGTGATAAGTGTGTACGTGCCGTCTGGGCGACGGTGTCTCTTTGCAACGCTCTTGCGAACCGAGAGAGCGGGTGTGCAGACCGACGACGATCGCGCACGTAGTGTCCCTCGGTCTCGCTCAACGTTCTCGTCGTTGTGCGGAAACGGGAAAACACGAGAGCCCAGGCCGCGGCCAGCAGCAGCAACAGTCGCGGCGGCCACTGCCGGGAAAGGAACCCCGAGTGCTGTGCTGTTTCGTAATTTCATCCGCGCGACGGCGAAGAACGCGCACGGAGCAGTGTGCGCACCGCACAGTGTGCGTACGTCTCTCTCTGTGTGTATGTGTGTGTGTGTGTGTGTGTGCGTGCGTGTATGTGTGTGAGTATGTGTGTGCACCGCGCTATCTCGCCCCGTTGACGGACCACCGTCGCGGTCGCTTCTTCGTGTGTCGTGTCGTGATCGGTGCGATCGGCGCGCGGTACAACAGCATACCGGACCACTAACCGCGCGCGCGACACGACGTACATATCGCGCGTGTTACACTCGCTCGTCGTTGTCGTCATCGTCGTCGCTACCAGCACCACCGCCGGCGGTGGCAACACGACGCCGTGCATACGTACGTATGTACGTATATATGTGTGCATGCATGCATGTATGTATATATGTACGTACTTGGCGCATCACCCCCGTACCTGCCTGCGTGCGTGCGTGCGTGCGTGCGTGCGTGCGTGCGTGCGTGCGTGCATGCATGCATATGAGCGAGCGTGCGAGCGGAATCGTCGCTTTAATCGCTGTGATAGCCACGCGTGTCTTCTCCTTATTGCTTCGATTATTGCTCGATGGTGGCCGCTGAGAAAGAGCTCGGCCGTCGACGCAACGTCCACCGTCGCGACGGATCGTCGCTGACACGCGGCTCCTTCGGAGCGCATCGTCGCTGCCAACGCCGCTATATGGGACGCGCCTCCTTCCTGCACCTCTCGCGCACACGGGGTTACGGCGACGTCTCTGTCTCTCTTTCTCCCTCGCTCTCGTGCCGTTTGTCCGCCTCTTTGCCTCCCTACCGCTCTCTACTGTCTTCGTCCCTCCCTCTGTTTCTCTTCGGGTTTTCCTCGGGGCTTCACGCTCCCAGCGCGTTTACGCTCGTGCGTTCGTAGTGCACTCGCGCAACGACTACGTTATCGATGTGTAATACGGTGTGTACGTGTGTATGTGCGTTTATACAGGAGTATACAGCATGAGCATAACTCCGTATCCCCGCCGCTGGCCTCTCTCTCTCTCTCTCTCTCTCACGCGTGTGTGTATGTGCGTGTCGTGCGCTCACTGCTGTGTCTCCCTCTTGATCCTCCCTCTCTTCCTCCTCCCACCGGCCCTGCCATCGGCGACACGGCGTGTACGCGCGCGGTGCGTGCCATGGGAATTCGGCGAACGCGCGGTTTTGCACGCGAACAGCGGTGTGCTCAGCCACGTCGGGGCTGACCGATCCTCGCCGGTGTCGGTGAATCGAGTGTCCGAGTGTCGTCGGTGTCTCTCGTCGGTGGATGACGCCGAGGTTGCGAATCGTAACGAATCGTACCGTGTCGTGTCTAGCCGCCAACTTCGCGGTTAGAACCGTTAGAGAAGAGAGCACGAGACATTCTGACGGGAATCCGCATCTATCACAGAGTCTCCGCTTGAATCTCCGAGGTTTCGAGTATTATTCGAGTTCTTCTGTCATTCTTCGAAACCTCTGTGAAGGAGGCTTCGACGTGACGACACCGCGGCGACGATAATCTCAGGCTCGTCACCCCGAAGACTGAATTCTTAATCTGTGTGAAAAAGTATGCGATGAATGCAAAGTAAATGCGGAATATATTGTCTTTCTTTTGACAACTGCTTACAAATGTCATCTACATGTGTGTGTGTGTGTGTGTGTGTGTGTGTGTGTGTGTGTGTGTGTGTGTGTGTGTGTGTGTGTGTGTATGTATGTATGTATGTATGTATGTATGTATGTATGTATGTATGTATGTATATGTGCGCATACATGTATATATTGTGATTATACAGTTGCATAGTGAGTGATAACTGTATCAATAACCAGTACCAATGGACTGTATGAATGAGAGTTAAACGAAATACTTGTTTGGTGAAAGCTGGAAGTACAAAATATTTGCTCTAAGCTAAACATATAAAAGCAAAGATATAGACTAGGTCATTTCAAAGTATAGACTAGGTCTTTTGTCCTCTTATCTCTTGCATAAAGTATTTATTTTAAATTTTAAAATACTTGCCTTTTGAATGCTATTGGTGTAATCATTAGTTCGGGTAATCATTAATAAAGTAATTTCTTGAAAATATTCACAAATTATAAAATATAATTTGTACTTTTTATTCTTATTGTTACATTATATTTTTTATACTTCACTTCTAAAATAGGGTAAAAATGCTTCTACCTCAAGCATAAGTAAATACTTATAATCAACAATTTTGAATAACATGATTATTCAGAGATATTGAATGATTTTGTTATACAAGTAAGAGTGAAAGAGAGAGAGAGAGAGAGAGAGAGAGAGAGAGAGAGAGAGAGAATGATTAAGAAAAATACAATGTGATATTTACTATGTTATCTAAATCAAGGAATATTTCTGATTACAGGATCTGCGAATACGCTTAATCATACATCACAAGGAGAGAAGCTTTACAGGCATCTGTATTTACCTCCGCATTATTCCCCTTTTCAAAATATAAATGAGCAATATACAGACAGCTCGTATCTTCAAAATGGTGTGAGCTGTTATAAACCATCTGTTGTTCCCAGCAATGGTAAAATATATTATGTTATCATCTTTCTGTTATGCGCCCTCTGTCAAAGCCAAAGCAATCGTTAAATAAGATACCTTTTTATCTGATTGGCTCTGCATGTAAAAAGAAATTAAATAAAAATATCATTGAACTGTTTTGAGCTGTTGTTGTCTGATAATTTATGTTATGTTTTTATCAGTAATATAGTAAAATGAATATTATGAATGTGAATACGTATATATGTTCGTGTATGCATAGGCTTATAATGGGTTTTTTATTTTCAGGGTTACACACATCTCGTGTTGCGCCACCATGGGCGCTATCACACAATTTCATGCAGTGGGTTGATCGAGGATTGATAGCACACAACACTGTGTACGACACATATGATTTACATCACAAGGACAAAGGTACCACGGAATCCGTCGACTTGAACCCTGAAGATTCTACAGAGTTGTTGCAAACAACGGTACACAATGACAGGATAGTGAATTCTAGTGTTTTGAGCAGTGCAACCAATGAGTCGCTATCCAGACACACGGGAACATTGCCGGAAGAAACGCACGCGGATAGTTCGGATAATTATCGGAAGGACTTTGTTGAAAGGACGTTTAACTTATTAAATATCGTTGAGCCGACGATATCCTTGTATTGCACTGCGGAGGATAGAGGAGAAATTCCAGCTGAATCGCGAGGAAAGATCTCTTATCACGACGAAACGGAGATTACTACCTCCAGCAGCCGTGCGTCGAAGCACTCGACGACTGACACGAATGACGACGCGTTGAGAATCGTGTCAGACATTATCGAGCAGTGCGAGGAAGCTTTCGACGATTGCGCTACTTCCGTATCGGATAATGAACCGCTTGACTTGGTAATAAATTCGAAGAGAGGTGCGCACAACCACGGTGAGGCGAAAGATCAACTCGACGAGTACTTATCGGTCATCGATAAAGAGACGCTTCCAGTGGGCGGTGCCATTGTAAAAGAAATAAATCATTCCTCCGATGCACAGGGTTGTCACAATGTGAAGTACAAGAATTACGGTTTACTACAGTTTTCCGACTTAGACAAGGTATCATGTAACTCGGACAGGGGCAAGGAATTATTGAAGGCTGTCAATAACTTGCACACCGATGATGATGAGATAAGTGGGAAAGCTGTGACGGATGACAATTTGAAGCAAGAGAAAGCGTACGATATTCTGGACAAGTACGTCACGCATGTGTTGCCTTCGCGTTTGAGTGACGCCAAGCAGAAAGGGTTGTCTTGGACGTGTGCACGGTCGAGCGTTAAATGTAACAACATTAAGAAAGAATACGCCACCGAGGAAGAAGCACACAAGACAGAGAGCACTGTCTACAATACGAGGTTAAATAATTGGGAGTATCTCGAGATGTCAGGGCAGTATCCGGGACATAGCCGACCACCGGTTGGCACGCCTCCACCGCACACTGTCTGGAATCACCTCACTATGACGCAGGGTCAAGGTAATTTTTGCACAAATATCGTGAGCCTCTATTAAAATACAAATGGCTGTCATATTGTGTCAAAAATTAGCCCAAATTATTGGAATTCAGCGCATCGGTCACTGTGCGCGTGACCAGCCTGTTTTATGTTTATTTTTATATTTTGGATTTTTGGATTTTCTATTCATTTCTCTTAGTTGTTTGTAAATCATTGAAGGATTTCATTCAGTAACCGAAAAGTCATCTGTTAATGTGTGAAATTTGTATGATAGTCAAGGTAAATATGATTTTGTGTTGTGTTGGTTTTTTCATGTAGACGACTTTTGAATGTAATTACATGAAAGCACTTCAGTTTCAGGTCTCAATATTCATCCGACGGCGTTGTCCGGCACCACGTTGAATTCGGCCTTTTACACGCATCAGTCCATCGGCCGAACGTCTCATCTGACTCCGCAACATGCTCATACGCAAGCAGCACCAACGTGGCACACGCCTACGGTACCTCCGAAAAACATCACGCCAGCGAGCACGACGAACACCCCTTTATTCAATCTGCAAATGCTGGTAGACAACAGGCAAAATCAAAATCAATACAGAAACTCACCGGGCTCGCAGAGCACGTTGGACCTCTCGTCCACGTCCGAGATCATCCCGGAGAATTACTCACGATTACCTCAGGATATTCCCATCAGTCTCACCGCGAGAAACGTAGATAAAGGCAGTCGGAACGGTAACATAATCTCACCGCCGATACCGTTGAACGGCGAGACTTCGTCGGACAGCGGTATCAGCTCGTCTGTACCGACTCCGAACTCCGTCAGCGAGCCAGTCTCGTTATCGACGAAGGAGGTCACTACACCTAAGATAACGGTGAAGAACTTCGAGAGCAATTTGAAGGGAGTTGCGAATCTCCACGATAAGATTAAGGAAGTGAATGTAGATAATTTTGCGCAGAAAATGATCAACTTACCGCCCAGTGTAACGATAGAGAGGGTGGAGAAGAAGGAGCCCGATGCGGCAGTGGTGACGGCCGCGGCAAAAGTTAAGGACACGTTGAGTGTTATCGCGCAAGTGCCAAGAAACGTCTTACCCGTCATAGTCAATCGTGCAGCCAAGGAGAAGGACGTCACGGACAGTCCTAAGAGAGAATCGTCCTCCGAGAGGGACAAGAAGCTCGACGAGACGAGCGTGAGGTCGCCCAAGAGCTTGCCGAAGAGGGGCAAGAAGGGTGTCGATTCTCTGCTGGAGAAGTTAGAGGGTGGCAATAAGAAGCTCGGCAGCACAGAGAATATTGGTTCGGTGATTGTGACGCCTGTGGAGGACAAGGACAGCTCGAGTGTGAAGAGCATGTCGCCGGAGAGGCAGAAATCCAAATCGCCGAATCGGGAGGACGAGGTGGTCTCGCCAGCGTTCAGCAACGATGACTCGAACGACAACACCAAGCAGCAGCGTAGGAAAAGAAAACTCGAGAAACCCGTGAGGCTCAGCAAGGACTCGAAAACGGAAGTCGAAGATATGGAGCTCGAGCCCACGGAACCTTCGGAATCGAGGGCCATCGCCGACCCCGTGCTAGAGGAGACCGTCAAATCCTCGTCCGTGTCGATGATGTCTGGTGAGCGAAAACTGGAAGAGGAGCAACAACCGGTAGCTGTGATGGTGGAGGAGAGAATACCGAACGAGAAAGCCGGAGATGAGAACGTGGAGGACGAGAGGTTGGAGGAGGAGAACCAGCCGATCCGAAGGCGGCGAAGCAGCGACGGTGCGACGAGTAACTCGGCGAATCAGAGGGTACGGAGAAAATCGAGCGACGACGCGTCCGCGGAATTCGCGAAAGCGTCGACGAGTCCGAAGAACAACGCCGCGTCTAACAACAACAACGCGACGAATCCCTTCAACGAGGTCGAGTCGGAGTTGGAGAAGATGTTCGCCGGAATCGTGGAGACGGACTCGAATATCAAAAGTGAAGAATCAAAAGCGGAACTGGCTAGCGCGGAAATTCAAGGTGTCGACGACGACGCGAGTGTGAAGCTCGAGGGCCTTGAGAACAATATTTTGCCGACGACGAGTACACACCCAAACGTTAATCCCATCGACGTGTCCTCCACGATGGACACGAAGCTCTCAGGGAAGAAAGGCAAGAAAGGCAAGGCGCAGAGTCGCAAGCGAAAGGTCTCCAGATCGTCGGAGAATATCTTCGGTGCAGCGGGTGACCCTTCGATAAAGGACGCGAAAAAGAGGCGAACGTCCAAAGGCTCAAAGAAGCAGGACCAGTCGAAGAAGGCGAAGCGCAACACCAAGATCGACGGTCTGAGGGAGATGGCTTATGATTCTGGCTCGAATGCAAGTTCCATCAGGTCACGGGGGCCGGTCGTGCACGTGGAGGGCCCGCGAGACAGTCCGCTGAGCATCCAAGTAGTCAACGCGCCACGGGAAGAAGAGGAGGAGAAGAACAAAGAGAAGAGGAAAAGCAACGGTAATAGCAACGCGGGACGTGGCAGCAAGAGGCTCAGTCATCAGAACGATTTGGATTACAGAGGTATGTACGAGCTTGATTGAGATATACATCGAGTTGCTTTGAATTTACAATTTGATGAACGTCTCGAATTATTTGAAACACGCGAAAGCTGAACATTTCGAATAGTCCTCAAGATTTGAGAACAATGTATGCTCTTGACTACGCGTTCGGTCCATCGGTGAATTCCATCTGTGAATGCGTCTACTAGCTATGTTGATAATTTGACACAAAAAAATAACTAATTTACTGGCTAGCATGACGATAGGGAAGATAGTATCTTATCTCGATGCACGCAGAAATCCGTTTGCGAAGAAACCCGAGTCTAAGGCTCACGTTTGTCCGCAGGTAGAGTCAACAACGCGGGCCTCTTCAGTTCGACTCTGTCGTCGCGATACGACGCGCATACACCAGACTCGACATGGGTCTGCGTGTTTTGTAAACAAGGCCCGCATTCCATTATACCCGGCGATCCATCCAGACCGCATCCGAATTTGGCTGGACCGCATATCGCTTCCGGCACGTACACGGTATGTATTCTCTTTGAATAATCGTTGTCGTGAAGCTATGTAATATGGAACATGATGAAAAGATTCCATACGGATCTTTATTCATAATATTACGAATATGTGTACAACAGGTCCCGGCGGGTGTATCGGGCGACTTGTTCGGACCATATTTGATTGGCAAAGATCGGTTAGAGGACGGCAAAGAGCGGTTGGAGGACGGCATTCTGTCTGCCGACGAGCAAGAGATCACCAGGGAGCAGAAGAAAGGCGGCAAGAACAAGAGGAGCCTGAGGTACGCAGGTCTCGCTGATCAGTTCTCGGCCAAGATGGGCAAAAAGAAGCGGAACTCTGTCGAGAGTAATACAAACGCTATGTTCACGGGCATGACCATGCTCCCCGGCGAGGAACAACGTTGGGAGGTGTGGCTTCACGAACAGTGTGCGGTGTGGGCGGCTGGGGTCTACATGGCGGGTGAGTATTAGCAACGATAAGGATTCAAACACACATTGGCAGATGGCAGATGTTAACTATAGTCAGTGATTAGTAGTTGGTGATAACTACTGGTGGTTACTCGGTGTAATGCGATAATTACTTCCCTCTTACAGGTGGTAGAGTGACGGGGTTGCAAGAAGCAGTGTGGGACGCTGCTAAGTCGATATGCTGTTCCTGCGGTTTGACGGGTGCAAATATCGGTTGCATAAAGCGAGGTTGCAAAGCGGTCTCGCATTATCCTTGCGCGCTGACGAAAGGTTGGCACCTCGACACGAATCAGTACATACCTAAGTGCAACCTCCATCGAGTCACGTGAAACACCGGTGAGTCCTCGACGAGCGTGTATAGGTTGTAATGTGGATTTAGGTCATATTCATTATATCATGTGACGATCCGGCTTTAATTAGAATGCACCGAATAATGGGCAATAACACAACATAAGGGACTAAGTATATAAATTCATTCATGACTGAAGAAGATAGCCTTACTAGTTAGTAAGGTATGTTCTAGTTAACAAAGCGTGAAGCAAAACATTCTCTCATCGTGTAACTGATACAATCGCTCGCGTGTGCATTAAGAGTTACGTTGTGATCGGAACGTAAGAGTATCATAATTAGCGACAATGTAACCGATGAAACTACAAATACATAAGTCTAACGCTGAATCGATACTCTATATTTCTCTCTGTTCTAACTGATAGAAACGAATTTTCTCATTTGGTAAACAAGTGCGGGATGTTTTGAGGCAACGCTTTGTGTATCGTTTGATGCATAAGTGTATCCTGGAGGGTGAAAGTATAAATGTGAGAGCGATTATACTAATTTCCAGACATAGAACCAATATGCTCGAGAAAAAAAAAACAAGAAAACCTTCCAATGTACAAGGTGTTTAATACTAGATCGCTATTAAATATTTCTGGGAATTTCAAAACAAAAAAAAAAGAAGAAAGAAAACTAAATGCGAGACAAACGCGAAAGTGAAGAAATAGAAATTCTTCTCAATGATTGTGAATTTAATTGATTTTCTTGGCCTGTGGCCTTGAACAGTGGCCTTTTCGACTTAATATAAAAAGAAAAGCAAGATTTTTTTAATTTTGAATCTGTAGAATAGACGGATCTCTCTCCGCTATTGAGAAACAATGATAATCAAAAAAGAAAAAACAAAAAAAGGGAGGGGAAGGAAAGGAAGAAAAGTGTTTGCTTTTTTACTGATCTTTATGAAACTCTAAAACACGACAAACTTTCTTAACAACATCATTGTACACAGGAACACATACATAGGGCATATTGTACCGAACGTCATCGAACATGAAAGTTGTAAAAACAATGATACGAGAACCATTGAAATCGGATGTGCATAAACGCGGTAAAAAGAAAAGTCTGTAATCGTAAGCGGAAATTGAATATTCTGTCTTTTCTTTTGCATGAGGCTCGAGCATAAGCATGTGTGCAGGCAAGTGTTCTCTAATAAATGTAAAAAAGAAAAAAAACCTGTTTGTACATACAAGAAAGAGAAGAATAAAAGAAATATATATATATATATATATGTGTATATGTATGTATGTGTGTGTATATATATATATATATATATATAATCGAGACACGCGTAATTATATATGTTTCGAGATTTCATTTAGTTTGGAAACATTTATCTTTATTTGTTATAGTCGCAAGAATGCATGTGCTTTGTAACAGAATAGCATATACCTGGCGTTGCGATTAATTTATGTATGTTGTACTTTGTTTTGTTTGTGTCGTATTATAAATCAATTGTGTGCACACAGGCATGCACACGCACACGCGCGCGCACACACGTATACACATACATACACAGCTACACATTCAAACATATGCGCATGCATGCACACGCACATGATCGTTCATTTAGAGTGCCCACCACTTTTTGCTACACTTTTATTGATATTTCTTTATGTAGAGCCGCTTCATAACGCCAGTGTTGATTTGTTGATGATGTTGCATGTGAATAATGAGTTGACCATTTCTCTTAATGCAAAGGGGAATCCATCAGGTTAAATATTGTTTTCACAAAAGCTGTATTTAACTATTTATGATTTCCATAGAGAGAAATATCTCATATATGCTCGCATTGGACAAGATCGCATTGTGATTTCTTAAACCGAGAACACTTGTAAGACTTACCCCTATGTATCTAATGTAATATAACAAAGAACACATCTCATTGTATTCGGTGATATATGTTTTGTACGTTGTGCATTCGCTGTCACTATACCATCTTCGATGCTCGCGTAAAAGAAAGAAAGAAACCAGTGACTAATATTCACAGCACCATGTGTAATTTTTACTGTGTTTTAGCGATTTAATTTCAAGAAAGCTGCGCAGTAATACAGAACTTGATTGATGTATGTATATTATTATATATTTTTCGTATATCGATATTGCAGTCTTCTTTGCTATAATCGTTGTCACCGTTTTCATCGTATTTTATAAGAGCGTGAGAGAGAGAGAGAGAGACATAAGTTTTTGCTATGGAAAATATGTAAGAAACACTAACGATTCTCTTGTCGCTTCAGGGAGAACTAGCAAAGATCAGGAAAATTGTATAAAAAATATATAGAGATATAATATGTACATACATTTACGTAGGGGATGGTATATATACGTACATAGATTATATGTGTATGTAGTGTACAAATATACATATACGTCATATATGTATATACGTATAAGTATATATTACACATACACACAAGTATATATATATTGAAAATAGTCGCCACATCTTCTCCCACAGCACAGAGCCCGATAAATTAAGTATAATCATTTTTAAATAGTAACTATATAAATATAAATATATATATTTAGAAATGAAAATCAAGATTTAATTGAGCGTAAAGAATTCTTTGTATATATATAATATCGTGCATAATAACAAATGTAAAAAAAAAAATATCTTGGAAAAAATTTTATTCAGATGCATAAATTTTGTTTTAAGAATAGTAATAAATGCTCCATGAAATTGAACATTTTGAAGAAGAGTACACGAAAGCCTCTTAGTTTCTTTTTTTCGGTTTTTTTTTTCCCCTTTTTTCTTGTTCACGAAACTTTTCGAGACACGGTTTCGACGCTCCTAGATAATTAAAGATCTTTGTATAAAATGGAGATGATGCAGCCAAGACAAGAAAGAAAATGCCGCTTAAGTAAAATTAAAAAAGAACATTGAATTGTAAACGAAACGCTTACATTCTACAATTGTGTATTAAAGAGAGATGAAATTTTATCTTATAAAGAAGATAAAACTGTAATATTAATCATTACTTGTGATATAAAGAGAGAGTGAAAAGAAACAAAAGGCAAAATAAATTTCTAGAATAAGATGAGGTCGTAGACCTTATCTTATTCGTCATGTAAAATTCTTCGTATACAGAGCGGTCCTCATGTACAGTGCATAGAATTTTTGTAGCAAGCCGGTAAATATAACGTTGTATACATACCACCTTGTAGATCTGTCTCTACTGCGAATAAATACACCTCTAAATAAATCGTCGCGGTGACCGACAAAAGAGAGGTAGAAAGGAAGAGAGAGAGAGAGAGAGTTTCTTAGTGAACGATCTCTCTTTCTTTTCTCTCTGTATGCAGCATCAGTTCGCGAGAGTTGTTCGAGAGGAAGACAGAGAGCGAGAGAAAGGGAGAGGGAATTTGCGCTGTGGGGAAAAATGTTTCGCGCATTTACTGTTTCGACTTGTATAAATGGAACATAAGCTCGGCTTGTAAATTGCACTTTTAACGGATGAAAAGCATATAAATGGAGAAGGAGGAGATGAAGAGGGGTGTTGAGACGTGTCAGGGGCAAGAATAGTCAAGCACAGACAAACCTGAATATCACAATGCCTAAGTAATAAAAGATAAATCTGTAAAGTAAACAAAAAAAAAGGAGAAACAGAAAAACTTGATCCGTGTTATCATGGTGTGCGCGGATGTGAGAAGAGGTAATTAGGTAGTGCGGTCGTTTGCAACGATCGCAAAACTTAAAAATTGGCAATGACAAACCAACAACGTATTTCATTTTCGCAAGGCGAGAAGAAAGGATTAGGATTATCGCTTTATTATTTCGTATGTTCGTATTTTAAGATTAATTTGTTTTACAGTCTATTCTTTTCTCTCCCAACTTTCCAACACCCTCACCCTCCCAAACCTTTCTCCACTTACTCCTTCGGCCTTCAATTTGTGTGTCCCTCGCATCTTTCTCTTCTCTCAAGTCGAATAGATGTATCACTTTTTGTGACCTGGTTTAATATTAATGATTATTAAGAGAGATATCAGTTAAACTCTATTTAATAAATACAGAATGATAGAGAAAATCGGCAAATTGTATTTGAAATCAATACAATAATACGATTAAGTATACATCTTTGTGTAAAATATAAATACAATAAATAATAAAACACGATATACATGTGTGTGTGCTGTGAGATATTGTAGGTGAGAGTTACTCCTGATTATATTCCCGACAACCGTTGCAGTATTGTAACATCGAGCAGGACTTTTTTATAGCGATAATAACTTTCGGAACGATTCGCGTAAGCGCGCTCATAATTACGATGTAAGATTTTCACCAAATATTCCTGAAAGGAGGGGAGAACACTTGATAATTATAAACTTATAACTTATTTTTTGTAATTTACAAAGGAAGGAGATAACGATTTCCGCATGAATTTCCTCATTCTGATTAAGATCTGATTTGTAATAATCTCACCGTTGTATTAAACTTTACCGTAATCTGTTATAACACGATGATCTATTTATTTTAATAATATAAATATAGATGGTAAACTTTGAACAGCCGTTGAGTTGTTTTATTTATAAATAAAATTTTCCCGATTCATCATTGCGCCGTACGATTTGAATATGAGGTTCGTCTGACTTATCGTTGGTTTGTACCACACTTCGAATAAAGAAAGTGGCGGATCATAGCGGAGACTTTGGAATTAAAAATTAACGCTCACATAAAAGACTTTTAGCTGAGATTCAAACCCTTTAATGGCAATGAGCTTCTCGTAGATACCGCTAAATGGCGCTGGATGGATCAATGAACCTGAGAAAGATAAGGGATTCTATGGGCCAGAGCACAGACTTTTGCATAACGCATAATACACAACGCATAAGAGAATCAATCAGAGTTCTTCATTTTTATTCTGAGGAGGGAAATGAAGAAAACTGATTGGTTTATTCTCTTATGCGTTATGTATTATATGTTGTGCAAAAACCTGTGCGCTCGCCTTACACATGGAATGACAATGGCCGCATTCAGCAGACTCAACAGTTGGACAACATTACTAGATTTTCCACTGAATCTCGCTCCTGATTGGTAAATACTTCTGGGTCTATGAAGAATCTAAAAGAATGATCCAATCCAATCACAGACAATAATCACTAAACACTCTCTGATCACTTTGTTCTACTGAACGCGGCCAATGGGTGCGTTCAGCGGAGAAAACCGCTCAGTGAGCGATTAGTGACTATTGGTCCTTACTGTTAGATTCTTACATTCAGACCAATAACGTTGACGAATTGCTCAACAGTTGCGGAACTGTTGAGTGTCGTGAACGCACTCATTGGCTGCGTTCAGCAGAACAAAGTGATCAGTGAGCGCTTAGTGATTCTCGCTCCTGATTGGTAAATACTTCTGGATCTATGAAGAATCTAAAAGAATGCTCCAATCACAGACAATAATCACTAAACGCTCGCATCATTTTGTTCTACTGAACGCAGTCATAGACGCATATGCATAACATAAGAATTTATGAACCAATGAGCATCGAGTATTTAGTCGCTATATTGATTTACACAATGCATTTAGATGCTATCTAGATGCTCATTGGTCCATAAGCTCTTATGTATGCATATGCCATCTATGTAATTCCATGGGTACGTTCCGTTTCACGCATCGCGTGCATTTTTTATAGTATACGTGACATAAACTATAAATAAGTGCGCGCGCATGCGTGAAACGAAACGCATCCCATGTGTGAGGGCCCTTAGACCCGTTAGTTAGTTCTTTAAACTCCGTTTAAAGCAAGTTGTGGAACTGGGCCTAAAGCTAAGACTCCATGCATGCGGTGAGCTGCGGCAAATGCTGCGGTGACCAATCAGGAGGGAGGCGCAAGTCCGGTTGCGGCAAGCTCCGGCATGCGTCTGTCTCCTGATTGGTCACCGCAGCCGTTTGCCGCAGCTCACCGCATGCATGGAGTCTTAGCTTTAATCGATGCGTTGCAGATTAGTTCCAAAGCCTCCGCTACGAGTCTCCACTTTCCTCAACAACTGAGCGGCAGAGTAGACGAACCTTTCTTTTCAAATAGCGCGACTCAACGATGACTTGTACAACCACAAGTAGGGCTCCGCGAAACAATCTGAGTTGTTTTTATCCTCAAGCAGTACATTTTAACGGTAATTGGAAAAATTCTCTTTTATGTTCAAGCAGCACAATCAGATGGGGGAGGGTCATGACTCTTCCCACCCATCATCGCCGAACAATTACCATTCGGTCTCGATTCGACGTTGAACTGCAATACGAACAAAATGAAGACCCCAACGGGAACCGGCGTTCTCGCGATCCTCCGAGCAAAGTGTCTACCCAAGTCTCCTTTTCGACGTCATCACTATCCGCACGAGCTTCGTCGACGAGTAATAGCGAGTAGCAACGAGTGGTGGCGGCTCGAGTCGTCGTCGAGAGTGCTGTCCCCCTTCCACGCGCGTGCCGTTAGCGCGCTTCAGTATGCAGCAGAACGTCACGCGAGGTAGGTGCAACGTCGTTTGTTGTTCGTCGGCGCGGGAGTGAGCTCTGAGAGCACGCGATTACTATGATCGCACATGAGACCTCGTGATATCTCTTTTTTTCTCTCTCTCTCTCTCTCTCTCTCTTTCTTTCTCTCTGTCTCTCCTCTCTCTCTCTCACTGTACCGTCGCATCGGGGAAATTATGTCGACGCGAAATGAGTGATTCGACAACGACGCTACTGGTGCTGCAGTTCCTCGCTGCGTTCCTCGCCTGTCTCGCGGATTACAGCCGGGCGCAGGATGAAGAAACGCTAGGTAAGCTAGGAAAAGCGCGCCTCATTGCGGTTTGACACTTGCCATCGCATCTGTGTGTGTGTGTGTGTGCACGCACGTGGGCCTGCACGCACGCACGCAGGCACGCACGATCGAACAGGCGAATCGAGCAGTTTGTTTCAGTTTATATACCGCGTGGCGGTTCCGTCTTCCATCGCGCGCCTCATTCGTCAATGATTAAACCGAGCGATAATACTTGTTGTTCGATGTACGTGCGAGCGACGGCACGTGTGAAACGTCAGCTCGCCTTGACGGAACATTGCGCTGCGTATGTGTAAAAAGAGAAAGAGGAATACCGCTGACCCAATCATCCCGTCACGCGACTCTTCGCCTCGCCGCTTCATTTCTGAACGAATTCCGAGTTTCGTCGCAACTGCCTTTCGTCCGTCCGGCGTTTAGCGCCATCGGATTTACATTGGAGAGTTTTTGCAATACCGTCTCTCATATACGGTAAACGTAAATCGTGAATACTATTGGTTGCATACGTCGCGACGTTATTTTTGAGCGAATAACGTTCACGATTTACATTTACCGTATCTGAGAGACGATATTGCAAAAACTTTCTACTGTCTTTCAGATACGGTAAACGTCAATCGTGAACGTTATTTACTCAGAAATAACGTCGTCATATACGCGACCAATAGCATTCGTTTACCGATCAATATTTACCGTATCTGAGAGACGATATTGCGAGAACTCCCTATTACGTACGTCGTATTAACGTTAACGCATATTCGAACCTGTAGAGTTATACGTGTAGTTACGTTTTTCAAAGCACTTTGCTTTCTTTCCGTGTTCGTCTCTCTCAATCTCCCCCTCTCTCTTCCTCTCCCTTTTTCCCAAAGTCAAGTCCACTTTGCATTTCAAATGCGGACGGTGCAATTCGGTGCAGCTGCAGACAGCAGATGTATCGATATCGTCGAATTGCCACGCTCCGCGCGATCGAATGAGATCATCGATCGGCGCGCTATCGATTCTCGCGGGCCGCGCGATTCTCGATCGAAGCCCCTTCGAAGCCGCTGCGCCGTTTCAATAACGCACTGTCGCGTTTAATAACGCGCGATCACAAAGAGCGGCGCGTGTCTGTAATTGCTAACCGTGCCGGTGTCCTCGGCGGTTTCATTACGTGTGAAACTCGCTCGCGGCGACGGTCGCGCGAACGCAATCATCTCCGGTTCAGCGGTTCCGTCCTGCGTTTCACGTGACCTCTCGATCGCCGCTGTTTGACGCTTCGCCGTTCGCGCGGCAGCGCCTTTGCGCCGGCGACGATACAATCGCAAAGTCCTGCTGCGAGAAGAGCGACGAGCGAGGACTTTCCTTTCCTCCTGACACTTGACAAGTTACGGAGAGTGTCTTCAGCGCTGTGAGAGGTTAGGTAAGGTAAGACAAATTTCATTTGCCGCGGTGCCCGCTCGCCGTTGTTCCCGTGATGCGTCGCTGTCCTTGTGATTCGGCGGACGAACCGTCGTGTTATTTTCTCGCTGGTTTATTCGCCGGCTTCTCTTTTGTGGGAGCCGGCGGTGGCACCCGGCGCGTAACGCCGCGTCTCTCCTCTCCTGAGGGAAGGCGAGCGCGAAGCGCGCTGGCCACCGGCGGTCAGCACCGACCACCGCTAATTGTTGCACAATGCTCTCTCACTCGCCTTCTGTATCTCTCTCTCTCTCTCTCTCTCTCTCTCTCTCTCTCTCTCTCTCTCTCTCTCTCTCTCTCTCTCTCTCTCTCTCTCTCTCTCTCTCTCTCTCTGCCCTGTTTCCGTCCTCCTCCCCTCCCTCTCTCTCTCTCTCTCTCTCTCTCTCTCTCTCTCCTTCTCTCTGGCGAGTTCACAGGTGCATTGCACCAGAAATCCTCTCGCGGTGCTCACCCCGCTCGACGACGACGCGAGGTACACGACGCCAGAGAGGGATTACGTCGTCGCCTTTCATTGCAGCTACCTCGGGACACGACAGCGCGCGAACTAATCCCGCGACGGGCTCTATCTTGCCGTCTACAACTGTAATTTTTCGTCTCGCTAAACGCGTCGATTTCTCTCGGCCATCGCGCGCGATCCGGATCCGTCGAAACGATGATTCGCTAGGAATTCCGCTGACGTGACGAATGGCGACCACGTGGTCTCTCTTATCGGTCAGCACCCTGGATTTGTCCTTCTTCGAGTCCTCAAAATCACTCAGAGGAAGGAGCGCGTGTAACCCAGTAACCCGGGGGTAGCCGAAGACGGAGGGAAGATTCGCAGGGTTTATCGAGTTCACGTTTCCGGCGGGAAAGACGAGAGGAAGCAAACGTGAGTTTCGGATTTCGACCCGGAGAGAATCAGTTCAAGGCCGGAGGAGGGACCGACTCGGCCGTACACATCTTGATGGCGCGTATATCCTCCGCCGCGGCTATTTAATCCGCGATAATCCAATGTCGGCGATCCGCGCTGGTCAGGAACGCGCGCAAAGTCCGTACACGGCACATATCCGAGAGGTGCGCGCCCGGTCGGTCAGACAGACAGACAGACAGACAGACGCGAAAACGGCTCTCGTCCTTTCACTTGCACAAACGCGAAACGGACACATCGACCTAATCGCGCTCGATAGCGCTCGAACGCGCTGCTCCACGCTGTGTGACGCAAGTAAATAGAAAAGCGAACTCGATCCCTACACCTTCTTCACCTCGCCGTCGTCCTCGCGCTGCACGCGCTTGATCCTGATATTACTCGGTGCTGTAATCTCCTTGTTGCGACGTCGATAGAGCGTTCCTGATACGCTGCGATTTTGTCGTCGGCTCGCCGAGCCAGCGTCCGGACCAAACGCATACATGAAGAAAGAAACTTCGGCGGATTTGTGCAACTGATTTTTCTCTCTGCTGTCTGGGAAAGAAACGAGGTTCACATTTACTCTGAACTACAGTGATTTTCTTCGTCTTGTTGTCCCGACAAGAAAATGCTAGTAGCGGTATGCGTACAATGCTGTTATCACACCGATATGTTATGATAACGCCTGCTGGAAAAGTGCCTCTCCCGACTGTAATCCTCTCGCTGTACGATTCTAGTTGGAAGTCTCGGGTAACATTTTTCTCGGTGCGACGGGATCTCGGTTGTAGGAACAGGATGATGCTTCCGGGAGGTTTCTACACGGTCGATTATCCTCGGTTATCACTGTTATCTAAATTTTAACACAGTCGGAATGTCTTTGAACGCGATGACATGGATATCGCTTTTCACCGCGCCGGCGAGTTTTCAGCGAGCTGAGATTTCGTTCTTCACATACACAAATACAATTTTACGGCGCCTCGTTAGTAATGGCGGGATCTCTTTTGTGCTGATTCTCCGCTAATTCTTGCTACAGTGCGCGCTGCGCGCGCGCGCGCGTGCGTTGCCGCATGTAAATTTCCTTGCCGGCAGTTTTCACTTTCGTCCTTTTGCAAGACTTTAATGAACACTCCGTGCTGCGCGCACAGCCACGTGCGGCGCAAATTTCACCGGAGATTAGTCGATATTACGAGCGGGGCGATAACGGTGTTCGCGTAAAAGTCGCGCGCCGCGCGCGGTAATGCGAGCCATTTCGCGGCGGACAGTGAAAGTTCGATGACCATGTAGTTCGTCGCAGAGAAAAACGATTCTGATACCAAAGTGTTCCTCTTCCCTTCTCTCTCCTCCTCACCTCCCTGGAAGTAAAGCGCTAAAAAAAAGTACGAGCGATTAGTCGCGATTCTCGGCCGCGTCTTACATTGATTTAAAACAGACTTGAAACAAATGAAAGAAATATCGATTGATTTAGTTGTCGAATGAAAGCAATCCTGAACTAGCTGAAAATTCGTCGACTTAATCGACGAATTTTCTCATCCGAGAAGTAGACTCGAAATGACAAGAATATATGCGGACTTGGTCGATCAGTCTCGTCAATTCAGAATGTTCACACCTGTGAGATAGACACAGGATAGAATTCCAAATAGGACTCGGCAGAATTAAGTGGTTATACCCGGCGAGTGTCGGAGACAACGACAAATAGAACAGCGTCTGGAATTCTCCGTTCGCTATTCGCGAACAAGAGATTGCCTGAAAGTTGACGCAGAACCGTGCGAGCAGCTACGGCGGCGGTTCGCCGCGGAACACGCTCCTTTGCGTAGGCTTCCGGTGCATTGTTGTTTGCGCGATACCGTTCCGACTTCACCGCGAACAATTTCTCAATCCACGACCTCTTCCTTCCTCCTGGAGCTCGAGCGCGCGCGTGCGATTCGCAAATACGTTTCTCCGCGTTATTGCATTACCGCGCTATAGCAATAACGTCGACCGCTCATTCTCCTTGTCGCAAAATTGCTCTTTCTCTCTCTTTCTCTCTCTCTCTCTCTCTCTCTCTCTCTCTCTCTCTCTCTCACCTTGAGTGGCGTGTTGACCGGGCATGTCCGGGGTCCGCGTGTGACACGCGTCATTGACGTAACGTCGTCGTCGTCGACGTTGTCGTCGCGCTGCGATGAGCGGCAGCATCCTGTGAGCGACGTGCTCAATGTCCGAGAGAACCGACGACGGCCAGCCGCGCGACTATTATCGCGCAGATGAGAAGATTGGCCCCGGAGTTTTCGTAATTAGCGCGATTCTACGTACTGTATGTGTGCGACCGAGAGCCATCTTGTTCCCCGGCGCGACGCGCTCGGGTCGTTAACGCTTTCGCGGTTCCCGCGAGTTCTCTCAAGAGAGCGCGCGCGCACCGGGGACGACCGTCCGCGTTTATCCTTGAGCGAAGAAAGGAACTTGGCGAATTTCACGGTTACGACGATTGTTCGCGAGCGCGAATCACCACATCGCCCGACCGTTTCTGGGAACGATCGCCCGCGATACCACTGCGATACCAGCGCGATACCGCCGCCGGGAGTCTCTTTGGTTTTACCGTATTAATGACATTTTTCGGCAACGACGTAACACTCGACGTATCGTTGCTTCGTACCTCGCGCTAAACATGCTCTTCCGCTCGTCTTTTCTCGCACGAGTTTCTTTCACTTCCTCG